TGCAAGGGAAGTCATTATTATTTGGATTACTGCAACGTGGAGCAGCCCAGTCGTGGAGCATCGTGCTGTACCAACACAGAACAAACCTGTGATCTGCCTGTGGATAAGAGGGAACAACCGACAAGGGCAGCTCTCTCTAGCAACCAGGTGCCTGGCTGTTAATGAATGACAGTCCCAAGGAAGGGAGCGATACAGGACTCTGCATGAGATCTCCACCTTGCAGCCCTAAGGTTTGTCCATCTTCTAGGTCACAGACAAGAATGAACCTAATCCACATCCGGGTCCCTCCTGGGCACAGTGCAGCTGGGAGGGCATTTGGCCTGTGAGACGGTTCGTAGGCTCCAGGGGGTCTGTGCCTCAACACATGCCCAGTCCCCGAGGGACTGGGCAGACACCCCCAGCTCCTCCCACTGGATCCGGCACTGACAGTGGAATGATGGGAGCGTGGCATCCAGAAACCTTCGGTGCCCAAAAAAGGAACAGCTGCTAGGTAGTCATGACCAGTCCAGCAGACAGAGGCCAGGGTGGGAGGGACAGACCAGCGCAGAACGGGCCAACCAGAGATCCAGAGGGTTCAAAGAGACCACAAGGGTCATCTAGTCTAACCCCCTGCTAAGATGCAGGATTTGGGGAGGGAAACCTCGAAGCTACTGGCAAAACCAAGTGCATGGACACGGATGGGGCTCCTTCTACCTTCCACACGCTCTGGCGGGAAACAGCCTCGTAGGGTTTCCAGCTCCTGCAGGGATTTGCCGATCTATTTATTCTATGGATGGGAACTTCCACTTTGCTCTGTTACTACAGCCTCTGGGATGTGGCTACTCGTCGGACGAGACCCGGACTGAGCGCCACTAACAGATTTCATATGGGCCATCACACAGCTACCAGATGGAAATGACCTGCAGGCACGGGCTGGATTTGGGGGTGATTTAAACTCTGTACCCCATCATCGGGGCCATCCCATCCCCAGCAGGGTGTGTTTCAGAAGATCAGGGCTTGCTCACAATGAAGCAGCCTTGCGGAAATTCTTATTTGCATTTAACTTGCGGAATAAGAGGGGAATTAAGAGTCTTTTGTTCTCTGCCACACGAAGGGATCAAATGGCTGCGTTAGCTTCTGCTCCACAGAACTTCCTTGTGGCTTTGTCACAGCCAGCCACAGCTCACCCAGGGGCACTGGAACAACTTGCATAGTGGGGGTGCTGAGCGCCATTGAACCAAACTGTAAACCCTGCTTAACATGGAAACCACTTCAAGCCAGGGGGTGCAGCAGTTCCAGCACCTATGGGCTCACCCCTTTCGTGCCCGGCTCGGGTCAGGTGCCCTGCCAGCCTGGTCATTGCTACCAAGCCCTTTGGAGCGGTTGACATGAACCAGAGAGCGTGAGAGTCAGTGGGAGTTTTATTATTGATGCTGGGTGAGAACAGGAGTCGCAGAGTCCCAAGGCTGAGCAGGTCTCAAAACTACCTTTTTGCACCCAGTGGTAATTTCCTTATTTTTTAAGCTACACTGAGGCATACGGTAGCTCACAGGTGATCTGCACAGGAGGTCTGACAAACCAGGCTTGTGCCTCTTTGGTTTCTTTATTTTGGATTAAGAAAGCCTGACCCAAAAATTATTGTTTTGTTTTGAGAAGACCCCTCCTCCCCCCGGCTTGTTTTTGATCCTTGGAATATCGGGCAGGTCACATTTGCTCTTCCCTGCTTTTGCTGGAAGATCTGTGGGATGTTGTTACTCTTTAACAAAGAGTTTCTTTCTCTAACATGTTTGCTAGCCATTGGAGTGAAATAAGCATCAAACAGAAAAGCCAGAGTTTTCAAATGGTCTGACGGTCAGACGCTGAAAAGCCCCTCCCAGTGGCTCAGCTTTCACTCTTGGCTTGTGTGATGTTGCTATTTCATGAGCTGCCGCCGCACGGTACCTGAATTGCTAATGTGAAAAACCAGAACAGATTCTTTTAAAAACCCTTCCACGAGCTTCATCCACCAGGAAGCAGCAAAAAAGTCTCAAATTCATCAGAGCAGCAGAGGCAGCAGGTGGCCAGATAAAGTTCATGCTATTATTAAGAAACACAAACTTCCCCGTGGGTGGATTATCTTTGAACAGCTTCGTTTCAAGAATCTTTAGGAAAACAAGGGTGTCACCTCAGAGGCTGTGGATCCAACCTGTGAGTTAGCTTTAAGGGTGTGTGTGTGTGTGTGTGTGTGTCCAGGTGTGTGTCCGTGTCCGGGTGGCATAAAGAGGAACATAGGAATCCAAGAGCCAGCCGGAAATCCAAATACAACAAACAGAGGGCCCTGGAATTAACATTTGGATCATGGCGTTTGCATAGCTGACGCTCAGCTGGACCAGGGAAAGGTCAAGGTCAAGAGCAATATTAAAGAGTCAGTAACTCAGAATCTGCCCAGTCATGTTTAGTTCTGCTGACTGGAGTAGTCAGTTACGTCCCAGGTTAACACAGCCCTGAATACAGAGCCCCAGGACAGCGAGTGGATTCGATAGGATTCTCGTTTGTCATCACATTTGCTGATTTGCATCTACAATAACGCTAGTGGCCGTGATCCTGCAGAGGCCCCACATGGGGGACAGCTGTGCCCACGCAGAATCCCATAGGGCCGTGCACAGGTACAGACGGCCGTCTGTGTGGTTCCAACTACTGGATGGGCTGTCATTTGCACCTCTCTAGCTCCATCCCCCTGAGGGTTGCAGGGTGTTGTCATGAGCTCAGCGTCACACACCCCTGAGCAGCCGGTAAATGGCCTTGACAAAGTTCTACAGAGAGGTGGAGCCGATCACCTAAAGTCACACCAGGCGTCTGGCAAAGGCAGGAACTTAAATGAAGGAGATTATCTGTTAGGCCACCCGGCTAACCTGGCAGCTTTCGGTTGTGGCTCGAGGTGTCATGCCTCTCAAAGCGCATATGGAAAGCCAAGGAAAAGTGTTTTACAACACAGAACAAACACTCAGGCCGTGCCTACGTGGGAAGGGGTTTTCATTTTTTAGGTGCAACTCAGATAAGGGATTCTGCCACTAGAAATATTAGAGACAAGGTGGGGGAGGTGAGATCTTTCATTGGACCAACCTCTGTTGGTGAGCGAGACAAGCTTTCGAGCTACACCACGCTCTTCTTCTGGTCTGGGTAAACTTGAAAGCTTGTCTCGCTCACCAACAGACATTGGTCCAATAAAAGATAGGACCTCCCCACCTCTAATATCTGGGGACCGACCTGGCTACACCACCACCGCAGGGGACATTAGAAATATTTCCCACCAGGGACGCCAGAGGTCCCTTCCCTGCTGTTTTAGAGCCAATCTGGTTACTCGGAGCGTAGAGGTGTGGCAGGCGGCTGGCAAACAGTGCAGCCAGCTCCCGATTCACTGGGATTTCCAGTGTCTGACCATTACTGTTAAATTTTTCAAAAATATTTTTCTAGGACCTGACTCAGAGCCCACTGGAGTTAATGGGAGCTGTCGGATTACGCCCATAATTCCTGTAACTACGTTGGAACAAGCGCACGTCTAATAAATGCACACAGGTTTAGAGGAAAGCAATCCGCTCCGGCTAGGGGACGAAGGAGAAGGATTTATGAGGAGTCTAATTACCCCAGAATCTCTTCCCTCCCTCCCCCCGACTTCACCGCCACCAGGTGCCTTGCCTTGAACAATAACTGTTTTTGTCCATAAAACTCCAGCAAATCAGCAGGGAAGCAACAGATGAAAAATGCACCCTTGGCTGGAGACTGGAATTCAGACCTCTACAGGGCACGGTGAGCAGGGACCTAGGAGACCTGTGCTCCTGGACTCCGTGCTCCCAAGGCTGTGCGTTAGCGTCCACACTGCCCTGTAAAACCGGATTTACAATTGCTGGCTCCGGGTCTCACAGCTCCTGTGCTAACTCTCCATACTGCACACTAGGGCTGGGTCCTAGGACCCAGGTCCTGAGTGCTTGCTGAAAGTTGTGCGTGCGTGTGGACAGAGCGGGAGGATTGGGCTCAAACGGAGTCTGAACCGGAGTTTACAATGCAGTGTAGACAGGACATACCCGAAACGACCGGCTGCAACCCCCGTATTTTCAGGCCATGGGGGCTTCACGGGCGATCAGCCGGGAAAGGGCAAGTGTTTTGCAGGATGCCACCGAGGTACCAGGGAGGAGGACGGCGCACGGCAGGCGTGTGTCCGAGGGGGCGCAGGGTCATAGGCACAGGGCGGGGGATACATTTTCACGGTGGTCGCTGTAAATCGGCCCCTGTCCTCCCGCAGAAAGGGAGCGGCGCCAGAGGAGCCTTCGCACGCCCCAGCCCTCGGCTCGCCGCCGCCCGCCCCGGCGCACCTTGTCGATGAAGGAGACGAACTGGTTGTTGAGCCCCTTGATCTGCTCCTTCTCCTCGCTGCGGATCTGGTGCAGCGCCGGGTCGATCTCCAGGCTGGGCAGCGAGGCGAGCAGGAAGGAGCTGGACAGGCCGCTGGGGCCGAGGCGGCTCAGGCTGGGGGAGCTGCGGAGCCCCGGCTGGAAGCCCGAGCCGGCCCGGTACGGGGAGCCGCGGCTGGGCAGCGAGCCCTGGGAGCGGCTGCTGAAGCCCATCGGCCGGGAGCGCGGGTAGCTGCTCATGGCCCCGGGAGCGAGGGAGCCGCGCGGAGCAAGGTGCGGCCGGAGTTCGAGCCCCGCCGCCGCCGCCAGCGCCTAAACATAGGGGCGCGCTCGCCGAGCCCCGCCCCGAGCCCCAATTACCAGAGCCCCGCCCCCGCACTTAGCATGGCCCCGCCCACCCGGACTCACCTGCCGCCGCCAGGCGCCCCCCCCAGCCCCTCGCTGTCCCCACTTTCATTAGCATAGCGCCAGCCCCCTCGCCGGGGGCTCCTGACTATTGGCCCCCCCGCCCCGTGCGGGGGGCGGGGTCCGCAGCCGCGCCTTCCATTGGCCAGCCTCTACCTGTGCATGCAAATGAGGCTCCTGCATAATGCAGCGGCCCCGCTAGATAAAGCGGCGGGGCGGCCCCGCGGGCAGGCAGCGCCGCGCACCATGTCCCGCTCCCGCAGCGGCTCCCTGGCCGGCTCGCCCCGCCCGTGGCCCGGCTCCTCGGCCGGCAGCATGTACGGGGGCGCGGGCGGCTCGGAGCCGCGGGCCTCGGGGTCCCGCCTGCAGGCGCTGCTGCCCGGCCTGCGCGCCCACCTGGACTCGCTGGGGGCCGGCAGCCAGCAGGAGGCGCTGCAGGGGCTGAACGAGCGCCTGGCCGGCTACCTGCGGCGGGTGCGGGGGCTGGAGGCGGCCAACCGGGCGCTGGAGGAGGAGATCGCCCAGGTGCGGGCCCGCCGCGGGGGCGCCGGCCAGCGGGACTGGGAGGCCTGCGAGCGGCCCCTGGGGGAGCTGCGCAAGCAGGTAGGGCCCAGCCGTGGGGTGCCTTGAGCTGGCCGACCCTGGGGGAGCTCTGGGGACGGTGCTACCCCATCCCTGGGCAGGGAAGGGGCCCTGCTGCTGTGGGTCCCCAGAGAAATGGGACAAGGGGGCTGTCCCGTGTCCCCTGCCCCGTCACCCCTTCCTTAACCTGAGAAAGAGGGCAGAGGGAGTCGGTCTTCTTCTTGCCCCCCATCAGGTCAGCGCTGGCTGCCTGACCCCCTCCCTGGGGTGACAGAGCCGGGGTAGAACCTCTGGCCTACCCTTAGCCCGCTGAGGCCAGACAGGAGCCGGGGCAGAGAGATCTGAGGGCGTAAGGGGTCGGACCCACCCAGTCAGTGCAGGAAGCGTCTCCGAGCTGGCTGTCCGTTTCTGGAGAAGTGCCACGCCCGGTAGCCCCAGCTTGCTGGGGCCGCATTGGTTTGCCCTGAACCGCCAGGGAGGCGTGCGGGAGCCTGGCCCTTTAGGTCCCATGTCATGGGGGAGAGAGGACAGGAACCCAAACTCTGAAAGCTTCTTATGCCCACGACCAAGTTCTGTGGAAACCCACGCGGACCCAAGGGGGTTCCTGCCCCTGGGAACTCACACTTCCCCCTGTTAGCAGGGCGGCTGCAGGCCTGGCCTAGCCCAGCCCCAGCCAACAATACTCCGGCAAGCTGTAAAACCTTGAGCAAGGATACAACTCTGGGCAGATCAATCCTCTTTCCTTTGTCCTCTCTAACCCTCCAGCCCTGCTGCCCTTTGCCGACAGCCAAGGGGAGACATCGCTGTCAAAGGTCAGGGGGTTAGTTAGGCTTAAATTTTCAGTGGTGACGTTAGCGTCCTTCGATTTGGGATGCCTTGAAGAGGCCTGATGCTTTCAGACTGTGCGGAGCACCCACTTTCTGAAAACCAGACCTCTTTAGACGTCTCAAGTTACACCCCCAAAACCACCGTGTTTTGAAACAAGGGCGCTCAGGGGCTGATCTATCAGGAGCCCCCTGCGCCCGTGAACTGCAGCTGCGGCTTTGTCTCTCAGTGAATCTCTTCAGGTTTGAAAGTCGCCAGCAGATCCCCTGGTGTCTAATCCCTCCTGTTTCCAACTCAACCAGCCAGGCAGGGGAGAGGAGGGTGAAGTGCCTGCAGAGAGTAGCTGGGCTTCCAGAGTTGCTGAAACAAAATCCCTTGTCCTTTAAAGTCCTAACATACCTGTTGGGTGCAGCTGGCTTGCCTGGGCCAGCTGTCCCCACAGCACTGCCTAGCTGGCCTCCAGCTGGCTCTCTTCCCCCTCCCCCGCTTCTGGCAGTCTCTCGGGGCTGATGGTTAAACAGTCACTTCTGCTAAAGCTGCCAAACATAAGCATGTGTTTTTTTCCCCTCTCTCCATTATTAGCCTCCTGAGAGTAAACAAAGGTGCCTAGATCCGGATTCCCTGTCTCTGTACAGATCTCGTCATCTGTCCAAACAGTGTGAACAAGGATCTGGACATGCCCTGTGGGTTTCAGCAGACCCAGGGATCAAGCTGAATTCAAGGTCATTGTGACTCTTGCTTCCCTGAATATAGTCATAAATTCAAAGGCCAGAAGGGACCCTTGTGGTCCCACTGCCCAGCCCAGGCCAGAGAACTGCCCCCCAGTCATTCCTAGAACAGACCGTTTGGAAGAACAGCCCAGTCTGGAATCCCACCATGACCTTGGGCAAATTGTTCCAATGGTTAATTACCCTCATAGTTACAAATTTACACCTTCTTTCCAGTCTGAATGTGTCTAGCTTCGGCTTCGAGCCACTGGATCGTCTCCTTTCTCTGCTAGCGCCAAGAGCCCTTTATTAAATATTGGTTCTCTATGTAGATATTTATAGACTGTAACCAAGTCATCCCTGAACCTTCTCTTTGTTAAGGTAAATAGCTTGAGCTTTCTGAGTGTGTTGCTATAAGGCATGTTGTCCCACCCTTTAATCCTTCTTGGGGCTCATCACTGAGCCCTCTCCAGTTTATCAACATCCTTCCTGAGAGCAGAATCCTTCCCCCAAGGGAGTCCTGGTCTAGGCATCCAGCAATGGTGGGGACTCCAGAGGATTCCCTGTTCCCAGCTTGGTTCTAGGGGGTGTGCTGTTGGATGAGCCCCTGCTTGCATGGGCTATAAATCTGGAGTCCTCACCACTTGTGGTCATTAAAGATCTAAGAACACAAGAATAGCCACTGTGTCAGACCAATGGTCCATCTAGCACAGGATCCTTTCTCTACTAGGGGCTGGGGCTAGATGCTTCAGAGGGAATTAACAGAACAGAGTTTTTTTTTCAGTGATCCATCCCCGGTCTTCCAGGCCCAGCCTCTGGCAGTCGGGGGCTAGGGCCACCAGGAGCATGGGCTTGTGTCCCTGCCCATCCTGGCTAATAGCCATTGATTGACCTGTCCTCCAGGAACTTCTCTAGTTCTTTTTTGAACCCAGTTAACTGTTGGCCTTCACACCATCTCCTGGCAAGGAGTTCCACAGGTTGACTGTGCGTTTGGCCTTGTGTTTGTTTTAAACCTGCTGCCCATTAATTTCATTGGGTGACCCCGACGTGTGTGTTAAGTGAAGGAGGAAATGACACTTCCTGATTCACTTTCTCCACATCATTCATGATTTTGTAGACCTCAATCAGCTCCCCTGAATCGTCTTTCCTAAGATGAACAGTCCCAGTCTTATTCATCTCTGATCACACGGAAGCTGTTCCATCCCCCTCATCATTTCTGTTGCCCTTTTCTATACTGTCCCCAATTCTAATTTTTTATTTTATTTTATTTTTTGGAGGTGGGGCAACTCAAACTGCATATGGTATTATAGGTGTGGGCGTACCATGGATTTATATAGGGGCACTATGGCACCTTCTCTCTTACTCGCTATCCCTTTCCTAATGGTTCCTAACACTTAATTCTTTCGATTGCTCCTGCCCGCTGAACAGATGTTTTCAGAGAACTAGCCACAACGGCGCCAAGATCTTTCTTGAGTGGTAACTAACTTAGACCCCATCATTTTGTATGTGTAGTTGGGATGATGATTTCCAACGTGCGTTACGTTGCATTTATCAACCTTGAATTACATCTGCCATTTTGTTGCCCAGTTTTGTGAGATCCCTTTGTAACTCTGCGTGGTCACCTTCATCTGGAGAAATTTTGTATCGTCTGCAAACTTTGCCACCTCCCTGTTTCACCCCTTTTTCCCAGCTCCTCTATGAATATGTTGAACAGCACAGGTCCCCGTACAGATCCTCGAGGGACCCTGTTGTTCACCTCTTTCCATGGTGAAAACTGACCATTTATTCCTACTCTTGGTTTCATATCTTATAACCAGTTACTGACCCATAAGACCACCTTCTCTCTTCTCCACATCTGCTTACATTGCTTAAGAGCCTTTGAGGGACCTTGTCAAAGGCTTTCTGGAAGTCTAAGTACAATAGATGCACTGGGTCACCCTTATCCACATGTTTGTTGACACCCCTAAAGAATTCCAATAGCTTGGTGGGGTGTGATTTCCCTCTACGAAAGCCGTGTCGGCTCTTCCCCGCCATATCGTGCTCATCTCTGTGTCCCCTAATCCTGGGGTGAGCAGATGTCCTGATTTTATAGGGACAGTCCCGATTTTTGGGTCTCTTCCTTATATAGGCTCCTATTACCGCCCCACCCCGATTTTTCACATTTGCTGTCTGGTCAGCCTAGATAATTCTGTTCTTTAGTACAGTTTTAACCAATTTGCCAGGTACTGAAATTAGGCTAACCAACCTGAAATTGCCAGGATCGCCTCTGGAGGCTTTTTAAAAGACTGGTGTTACATTTGCTATCTGCCAGTCATCTGATCCCGAGGCTGATTTAAGTGATAGGTTACGCACCACCGTTCATAGTTCTGCAGGTTCACAGGAGTTCCTTAGAAGTCACGGCACTTCTCACAAGGCTAAGGGTGTTAGCCCGGCTGTCCAGCACCCGTTGCAACGCTGGCCACTACTCTCTGCTTCTCCAGATTCCCCCCGCAGTTTCCATTGCACACGATGCTCTTCTCTTTTTCCTGTCCCAAACTGCCACCTCAGAAGTGGCTGCATTCTGGTGACTGGTGAAGGATCCCTGTATATTGCAGCCTGTAAAGTCCACCCCTCCCTGAGAGTTTTGGCTGGAAAACAAGAGCATCCAGTTTGGGCTGGGTGGGTGATTTGTTTAAATATTTGCATCCCAGTCCAGTAGAGAAACAAGGGACCTTCCCCTCCTCCCAGCCCCTTTCCTGCTGCATTTATAAACGGGAATGAGGAACAGTATATTTCAGATGGGAATATGAGAAGGAATGCACTGGGGCCATCTGAAACGTCTTTTAAAAAACCAAACCCAGTGAACTATTAGCAAAAGACGAATCCTTTCCACCTGCAGGGGGCAGGGTTGACTCGCTTTAAATGTCTAACGACTGATCCAGAAGGGCCCCAGTGTTCAAGCTTGTGTTAAACGTAAAGCGCTCAGGCAGGATTTTCAACAGCACCAGAGAGACTTAAGCACATGGGCCCCAGGGGGTTGCGTGGCAAAGTCCCTTGGGCACATCTGAAAATCTCCCCCTGAAATAGACGTGGCCTTGAGTCTCGTTCCAGAGGGGCTGAGCACCTGCTGCCTTCAGTGAGAGATGGGTGCTCAGCACCTCCGAAAGTCAGTCCACTCATATACCGACTGAATTTGAGGCCTTCCAAATCTGTCGCTGGGCCAGCAGAGAACTGCCTGGAAGGGAAAGACCTCGCTTACTCTGTCTCCCATCAGACTCCTCAGTCATTGTCGTATGGAAGCCAGGGGTACCTCCGATAGACCTAATCTTGCACTGACTGCATTGTCTTCTACCTTAGTGGGTCTCTGATCCTGCCACGAGCCCCATGGAGACAGACAGCCCCTCCCTCTCCCTTCTGGGTGAAACGCTGCAGCTGTATCTCGCTGTGCCATCTTCTGATTACAGAAACTCAAGAGCGGGAACCTGGCCAGGTGTCCGAATGGGGGTGGCTAGAAAGGTGGTGCTGAAACAGAGCAGCTTGCTCGGGAAGTTGAGGACTCTTTCTGGAGCAGCGGCGTAGGTCCACGGCTCAACAGCCGCAGATTCTAACAAGCTCTGGATCCAGCCCAGACTGCAGAAAGCAGCTTGGTTGGAAGCCGCTGCTAGCAGCCGGATTGTCCGTCTCAGTTAAATTCTCCTCCCTGGAACGTGCCTGGGCGATCTGACTCAACGCTACTGGGAAGAGATCCCCACGGGCTGCAAAGTAACAGCTTCTCCCCTGGGGACAGTGTAGCCACCTGCCCTTGGCTTGACTTTGCTGCAACCCAACCCGGTGGCTCGAAGAGCCCCATGGGGCAAAACAAATGCCTTGTTTTGCTTTGCAAATGTGCCAGTTTCTGAAACATGAAACCCACTGGCAGGTTCCCTCTGTGCTTGAGCTGCGGGTCTGAACTGGTTTCAGGAGGAGCTAAGCTGAAGAGGGGATCAAGGCTGAGATAAGGGCACTGCAGTGGTCAGAGGTCCAATGAGACCCAGGTCACTTCCAGCTTTTGAGGCCCCTAGCCATAATAAAAATAAGACAGTCTAATCTTGTGCCATCAGAACCGAAGTATTTTAATATTTATGAACATTTTAAACCCTGATATGACAATCTATATCTGTTAACAAAAACCTGTCTTTTACCAAATCACATCTCTTATTTGCTTAAATTTGCAGCTCTAAGCTGAGGGTGTTTCACATTTTGGTTCGGGGGGGTGTGTGTGTGTGTGTGTGTGTGTGTGTAAAATAACCTGTAATATGTCACTTAAAGACCACAATGTCGGGAGGGCAGGGGGACAGCCTGGCTAGGAGTTGGAAGGACAGCCCAGTGGTTCAGGCCTGGGGTTTTTCCAACCTGGGTTCAATTCCCTGCTCCACCACAGACTCCCTGGGACTTGGGATCTGTGCCCCCATTCTCCCTCTTTGAAAGGGGGACACTAGCCCTGCCCTGCCTGCGAGGGGTAGTGAAGACAAAGGACTGGGAGGTGCTTAGCAGACAGTAACAAGGGGTTACTAGGGGGATGGACCGGCTGACTGGGACCGGGACCGGGGTTTGCCAGGAAGGGAGCGGAGGAGGCGGCCGGAGGGCAAAAAGGGAGGCCAGGGTTTCGAATGGATATTTTCAAAGAGCATCCGTGCACACAGCAGCGGTGGGCGGCCCTGCGTACCAGGGGGTGGGTGCCTGCCCTATAGGAATCCAGCTCAGTGTGTGCACAGGAATGAGGAAGTCTGGGAGTGGGCAGGCGTATGGAGATGAGGAATAATAAAGATGTAGCATTGATCAGACTGGATCTAATCATCCCTTCTGGCCTTAACCTATGGTAGGGGCCTTTTCCCCTTCCAATTGCTTCACCTTTCATTGATCGCCGCATACAGGTGCGAGCCGAAAGCTAGGTCCAGATTAGGGGCTTGACTTGAGAGATTACAAAGCCCCTACAGCTCTCGCTGACATCAGCAGGGTGCTCAGCCCCTTGGTAAAAGTGACCCTAAGTGACGTAAGACCCCGAGGGAATCTGTGCAGAGCTGAGGCTAGGGTGGCAGGTCGAGTCCCAAGACCCCACCTTTGGCCTGTCTCGCTCAGGGATAGACACGCGGTGATGGAATTTAGCTTCTCTGCAGCTGGGTTCCTCAGCTGTAAGCCACGCTCCCGCCGCTCTGCGGAGAGATGGGGGGGCGAATGGAGAGGGGGGGGAGAGTATACGTACTGCCTTTGCTTTAGCATCCCTTCCTGAAGTCCCTTGCCTCTCTTGCAGGTGGAGGATCTCAACATGGACAATGCCAAGCTGCTGCTGCAAATGGATAATGCCAGGCTGGCGGCCGATGACTTCAAGGTCAAGTAGGTCACCTCATTCACCTCACTACTCGTGTCGCAGCCAGCCTGGCCGCTTGAGCTGTGTGTCGAGCAGAGGATGCTCCCCCGGACTGGGGAAACAGGCCCGCTCAACAGCTGTGAGCCTGTAGCAATCCACTACTGCGGCCAAACTCCTCAGAGCTAACGGTGCCCTGAGCTCTGTCCCTGGGGTTTTGTAACAAATGCCCAAGCATTAAAACTCACGCACAGGAGAGGGACAACGTCCCCAGGTACTAGGTGAGATTCTCTGGCCTGGGCGATGTGGGAGGTCAGACTAGATAGTCAGCGATCGCTTCTGGCCTTAATCTCCGACTCTTAATTCGGATCCCCACATTTCTTCTCTGGAGCAACTCCATGTGGTTGAACGCTAAGTATGTGTCCACTTCTAACTCCTCCCACTTTCTTCCAGTCACCTCTCCTAGGGTCAAGCTGGAATCCAGGGCACCTTGCCCCACGTGGCAGGTGCAAAGTGTCAGTCTAGAACGGTGGGAGTGGATTCCCAATACAATGCGGGGCAGAGAACCTGGTTTCCCTTGCTAGTCTCCCAAACATAAGAACGGCCAAACTGGGTCAGACCAAAGGTCCATCTAGCCCAGTGTCCTGTCTTCTGACAGCGGCCAATGCCAGGTGCCCCAGAGGGAGTGAACCGAACAGGGAATTATCAAGTGATCCATCCCGTTGCCCATTCCCAGCTTCTGGCAAACAGAGGCTGGGGACACTTCAGGTCATGGTTTCCCTTGACCAGCAGCTCCACTTTGGGAGGAACAGAAGCAAGCCCCTGAATTAGCGTTGCCCTCTGGGATTAGAGGGCATTTCCAAAGGGCCAGTGCTCCAGAGAGGAGCTACTTCCAGGTGGGGCATCCTCTGTTACACAGAGGTGCAGGACAGGTGCTCAGCATCTCCCCTGGATGCTGGTTCTGGGAGAAGTTGCTCATGCCAACCTCCCCTAGCTTCAAGCTCTCTGGGTGCCAGCCCCACATCTCTTTCCTACACACCTTGTTGCCTTCCCCCGACATGACTGAATGTGTTTAACACTGAAGCCTTTCTTTGTAAGATCTGCTAGTCCTGGGGCTGGCTTTGTGGCTTCCCTCGCCCTCCTTCTTGGAGGGCAGGACAAATCCACTTTCTGCTGCCTTGAACCATCACACCCAGAACTTTCACAAAGCAACTTGCCTTGCCGAGTTTGAAGGTTCCTGCCCTGGGGGCAGCAACACATAGGGGAGGGAGCTAAGGTGGCTGGCGTTTTCCAGACTACTGGCCACATCAGTGCTTTGAAAGTGCCTGTCTGCATTTCTGTTGTGCCCCTCACCCTGGAACTGGGACATGTCTGAATCCACAGGCTCCAGCGTTACTCACACCTTGCTGGGTTAACTCGTCCTTGTCTTGATCCAAGAAAGCTTCCTGCAGTAAGAAAAGCCGGTGCTCGCAATGCCATCTGCCTGAAACCCGCTCCTCCGCCTTTTGATCTGATCTCTCCCCTTCCTCTCCCCAGGCTGGAGGCTGAGCAGGCGGTGTGCGACAGCGTGCAGAAGGACACCCAGGGGCTGCGCAAGATCATGGAGGACACCAACTTCCTGCGCATGAAGCTGGAGGCGGAGCTGCAGGGGCTCAAGGAGGAGCTCGCCCACCTGCGCAAGAGCCACAAGGAGGTAACTGCCGGGCAGGGGCAGCTCGGGCCGCCGGAGGCGCGGGAGCGTGGCTGGCTTGGCCATGCTTTGACTGGGGTGACGGTGCTTGGGGGCGTGGCAGAGGGGTGACCAGCGCAGGACCGCGCGCGAACGGCTAACATCCCGTTACCCTTTCTGCAGGAAGCGGAGGCCCTCGCGGCACTGATTGCTAACTCCGACGTGACCGTGGAGGTGGATAACCCGAAGAAGCAGGAGCTGAGCGAGAGCATCGCCCAGATCCGGAAGCAGTACGAGAAAGTGGCCGAGCAGAACCGGCATGATGCCGAGAGCTGGGACAAGGACAAGGTGAGGGGAGAACCGAGGAGAGCGGCTGCCACTCCGCGCCGTGACGGCCTCTGGCGTAACCATGCTGTCCCTCTCCTTTCCCATAGTTTGACACGCTGTCCCAGGAAGCTAACGTGAACACCCAAGCGCTGGAGGAAGCCAAGAGCGAGCTGAGTGAGCTGCGCCGGCAGCTTCAGGGCCTGGAGATTGAACGCCAGACCCTCCAGAAAACGGTGACAAGACCCTGCTTTCCCCCAGCTCTGTTCCTGGCAGCACGTGCTGCTTCCCTGGCAGGGCAACATTCTCCTCCTGCAGTCTGAGGAAGCAGGGGTTTGAGATGGGGGGACCATCCAAGACCCACTCCTGGGTGGGGCCGGGTTCTTCCTTCTACCAGTGAGCCTCTTTCCCTAGGAAGGAGGTGAGGTTTGCACTCTTATTGCCCCTCTCCTAAAGCTGTGCAGCGAGCCAGGTAAAGGAGGGACTGAGTTACACGCCCCGGAAGGATGCATCTGCCGTGTCTTCTCCCCCGAATCCTTGCAGGCCCGACCTGAAACTGACCACGGCATCAGTCTCTCTGGTTACAGCTCCACTAAACCTTAGCAAGAGCCATGCCCTGGCCTGGAAAGGGACCCTGCTGTAACCCCTAGGCGCCAAATGAGCCGGTCCCAATGTCCGCTACACAGTCACAGGGCGAGCAGCCGACCCCATACCAGCTCCAGCGGGGATGGAGGGTTTTTAAAAAGCTGCCTCTAAGTCTCAGGCTTTACTGGCCAGACTCCCCGCAACTGCTGCGGTACTGGTCTCGTCCCCTGCTCAGATGCAACAGCCCGGAGAGCACTGACCCCACACATGCTTGTGGAGAGACCAATAAACTAAGTGCCCAAATTATGGGGGGAGCCTAGGTCCGATCTGAGCATTAAGGGCAAAGGAAGGAAAAGGCACCTGCCTCAGACTGGTGGGAGCTCAAGTGCAACGGCACATCAAGCCATCCAAGTCCCAGGATGTGGTGGGTGCATTGGTCCCTCCCCACATTGCTCTGGGGTAGAGCCCTGCAGCCAGGGGCTGGTGTTCCTGGGCTGATGCAGGCCCCCATGGCCTAGCGATTGCGTTGAGATCCGTGAGTGAGGTGCACACGGGCTGTCAGGTAATTGCTTTGAGCCCTGCTCCTATCCAGGTGGAGACCCTGGAGAACACTTTGGAGAACACACAAGCCCGCTACAACGACCAGCTGGAGAACTTCAATCACGTCGTTGCCAAGCTGCAGGAGGAGCTGGCCACCTGCCGGGCGGACCTGGAGCGGCAGGCCCGGGACTACGAAGCCCTGCTGGATCTGAAGAGCAAGCTGGAGAATGAGATCAGTCAGTACAGCCAGCTGATTGAGGGAGTGACAGACAGGTAATTGCACGGGGCCATGAACACTCCAGCCGTTGCTCTCCCTCTATCCAGCTGGCTTTGGGGCCCCCGAGTGCTACCGACCCTTGGAAGTCACTCTTAGTTTCTCTGCTCCTGTTCAGTCACCAGATATGGGGTCTTCCCCCTCCTGTTCAGGGCTGATTGACTGAATCCCAGGTAGCTTTGTCCTGCCAGCTCCCGCGCCCTGCTTTATCATTTCCTTCGGCTGGGTGTCCTTGCTGGATGCAGGATGAAATCGGCATTGGCTGGGGTGTGGTCTCTGATCTGCCAGCATTGCACTGACAGGTCGTCTTTATCTGCGCTTTTGGATAGGAAAAGATAGCCCAGGGCCCTTAACTGGGAGCCAAGCAGGATTCTAACCTCCTGCACCTGGTGGAAAGGCGTTGACCAGAGCAGGAGCGAGTGGAGCGTGGTTTTTTAGCCCATGTAAGAGTCATGTTGTTCCCAGCCATGAGGCTCTGCAAGCCCTAGTTGCCAGGCAGAGATTGTAGTCATAGCAGCTGCTATGAAGAGAGGAAGCCACAAAAGACATGCAAATCCCATGGTCACTACAGCTGCAGTTGCCCAGGGCTATTGAGGGAGAGGTGCCCCCTGTAAGCAAATCCCACCCCCCAGAGGGACAGGGGTCTCACAAAGGCGGCCACGTTTTGGGTTTGCAGAGAGGAATTTCTGAATCCAGCCACCATGGGTGCGTGAGCCCGTGGGGTGCCATTAGCGTAGGGGTACTAGTTAGCTGGAGAGCAACCTGCTTCGCTGTACACGTCTGCCCTGGCCCCAAGCTGCTTGCAAGCTTCCTGTGTGATCATGCTCAGCGTGCCAGAACCATGTCCTGTCTTGTCTAGCTACTGTTCCTCTTCTACCAATGCGGCCGTGTCCTTCAGCTTGGTCTTCTGTCCTGTTCGAAAGCAGAGTTCCAGGCCTGGCATGTTCGGAGGCAAACCACGACACATCCAGCTCCCGAAAACGTGGTAGGGGAAATGGGACCTGGAAGGAGGCTGGCTCCATTCGGTCATCTAAGAAGCATCTTGCTGAAGCATATTGATGCATTGGCCCATTGGGCTAACAGCTAATACTTCTACAAAGGCCTCACAACCCTCCAGCTGTCCAGTAGTCACACCCTTCACACACAACACTGAGCTAGCTAATCCCCTAGTCCCTGCACCCAGACTTGTGCTAACCGCAGCCGGGTAACTCCAGCTGTTCTACGTCACCCCCTGGCACGTCCTCTTCAACACTCCCTGGCGTGAGTCTGTGCTCCGCAGCACTGATCTGAGCAGAGGGGAGCTGCGGGATGCTGGTGCCAGTCGAGTAACCCCTTTTCCCTTCTCTCTCAGGCTCCCGGAGGCAGACCATTAAGGTGGCAGTGGTCACAGCCCAGGAGATTGTGGAGGGGAAAGTGATTGCACAGTGATCAGAGGAAGTAATTCAATCAAGAGGCAAATCTCGATTTACCGCTGCTGCATTTAAAACTCATTTTAGTCTGCTTTAACAAGCCAGGGTGTAGGTTGCATTGTCCTCTGTAGAGGTCTGTACTCTGCTGTGATAGGAATACTGCTGAATAAAGATCTTCCAAGCACTTTGAAATGGCTCCTGTTACCTCTGGTTTGTCCGGACACCAGTGTGGGATGCACCATTTAGCTCACACCCCAAAAAGGCACCAAGGAAGCCAGCCACTGGAAGCTCCCAGGGTGAGAGGCAGCTCACAGATGGTACCTACCAGTAGTTAAGTGAAATAGCAAAGATCAGCCTGGGCATTAGGCTCTGCTGTTGTCAGGACTAAGAGGGGCTGCCTCAGTGCTGGATGTCTTCTTTCATAGATCAGGGTTGGAAGGGACCTCAGGACGTAGCTAGTCCAACCTCCTGCTCAAAGCAGGACCAACCCCAGCTCAATCATCCCAGCCAGGGCTTTGTCAAGCCTGACCTTAAAAACCTCTCAGGAAGGAGATCCCACCACCTCCCTAGGGAACCCATTCCAGGGCTTCACCACCCTCTGAGTGAAATAGTTTTTCCTAATATCCAACCTAGACCTCCCCCCACTGCAACTTGAGACCACTGCTCCTCGTTTTGTCATCAGCCACCACTGAGAACAGCTGAGCTCCATCCTCTTTGGAAACCCCCTTCAGGTAGTTGAAAGCAGCTTTCAAATCCCCCCTCATTCTTCTCTTCTGCAGACTAAACAATCCCAGTTCCCTCAGCCTCTCCTCATAAGTCACTGCTCGGTTCCTTACAGTCAGGGGTTAGCAAGGAAGAGAAGTGCAGCTTGTAACAGTTCAGTGATCCCACTCCCCAACTTCTCAGGCTGCAGAGGGGTTTCTTACCATACACCAAGTCATCCTCTGGGTCTTCAGCAACGCACTTATTTGTGGCTCCCACAGTGTGATCCCAGGTGCATTATCCTACTCCTGGGGCTGGACCCCAACCCTTCCCCTGCCTGGGGCGTGTTCAATAAGCTCATCTTTTATTTGTGCAGTGACAGGAAAAGGCCCACAGGGACCTGAAAAGTGAAGGCATTCCTGTGGGGCTGCTGGCTTGCCCTGGCCTGCCCAGTACACACAGCAGTATGACTACTCTGGGGAATAGCAAGTATGAGAAAACAGGCCCAGAAAGTTTCAAGCTCTGCTCATCCATGGAGCGACACTTACATGCGCCCAGCTTCGATGCCCTATTTCCACAGGCTGCTCCCACAGTACCCCATGCGTGGCCTGCTGTTCCTTCCTACACAAAGCTGCTTTCCTCCTCAATTACCCTAGCACCTCAGCGCTCTAGCCATGAACCACCATCACACTGTGCCGTGGGCTGTAACACACAGTCCCTGCCCCACTGATGCTCACAGGCTACTTACAAGGACTGTAAGGGGACAGGCTATATTCCTAGGTGCTGTTAAAATGAACTGAATGAGAGCAAACAGTAGCTTCACACAGAGGCGAGAGCCTGCAGGGACAATTCTTTTCTCTCTTCAGTACTGTCCTGATATTCACCTCCACCCGAATGCAGCAGAATGGTGGAAGTGGAGGGATAACCAGGGGCTTAGAGCAATCCAAGGTGCTATGGAGGGAGGTGGTGTGACGTAACACAGAGCACCTCTGACAGCAGCCAGTGGACTGCCCCTAGCAAGGCTGGCCTGACTTCCTCCTTCACTGTGTTGTTTAAAATGGAATTGCCTAGTTTTTAAAAAGAAACGAAGGTCGAGATGTTCCCACATCTGCAACTGGCTGCTGGGCAACAGTGAAACACCCGCACAGCACGGATCACCAAGAAGGCAGGAGTCCTGGCCTCAATTCTGCACACTTTTCTATACCACGGTGGAGTCAGGGCTCCCTTTACATTGTCCTAAGCTACACCCAAGTGCAGAGTCCAGCAGCACAGAGCAGGAAGGGACCACACTGTATTAGTGAGCGTGTGCAGAGGTTTTACGCCGTTCACTCTTCACACATCAGGCGATTTTCACAAGAGCAGAGGGCACTCTAGGGCCATCACCCAGCAGCAGTTCCCGTTTCAGTTCCATTAGCTGGGGCACCCCAGCTGGTCAAGGATCACATTACAGGGGAGAAAATACCTTCACCTCCGTTTTTCAAAATCAAAGCCACCTTTGGTTCAGCTCTGGAAAACAGTCACTCCTGGGCTGAGCCTGATGTTGCCAAATTTCAGCCCAAAAGATTGAAGATGTTACAAGCGAGTGAAAGTGCTTAGACCAGAAATGCTTGCTCAACCTACACTCTGTCCGGGACTACTGGGAAGTGCTAAGTGAACTTCATAGGGCTTTTCCAGGTCTCATTTCTAGAACAATCCAAACTCCCACAAGCCGTTAAGATAGAAAGATCTCCTTTATTAATGAACCCCAACAGTATTTCTTCAGATACAGGAGTTTTGAACTCAAATACTCAGAAGAAAACAAGTTAATATTGCATTATTCTCATAAGAAATACTGCAACTCATTACCAGAAACATATTGCAAAGCAAAACAGCTTGGAAAAAAAAAGAAAAAGAAAAGAAATTAAACTGATCAAAATGGAATTAAGGTGGTTGTTTTTTTGTTTGTTTTTTTGAACTAGTAAGTCCTTGCAAGCACAGCTCGTTTCCGCAGATTACTTCCCAAACTTGTACAAAACAGAACCCGATTGGTTGTATTCCTTAAGAGCCCAGAGAGGTGCAACATTAAAAGCTACGATTATCAAGTAGCAAGTGCTCCAGCCTTCTGACTTCAGCGGCGGCCTCCGCCACACCCCATGCGTTAACGGGATGCGAACGTCTTCCCCCTGTAAGGAGCAGAAGGGCAATATTAGGGGATTCTCTTGCCAAGTATCGCACACGTTACTCAGTCACAGTACAGTTCCACATTGACATCCATCGTGCTCCCTTTCAACATAGGCGAGACAATGCCGTTTGGGGAAGGGAGGCCGTGGAGAGGATTTGGGGGAGTGTTTTCAAGGGGGAGCTCAGCAAGCTGAAGGGGAGGCTGTTCCACCCAAGAGGGGAAAGAGGAGGGGGAGAGAACTGCAAGGAGCATGGAAGGAAATGAGAGCAGATACGTGGTCATGGTTATGGAAGGCCTGGAAGAAGAGGACAAGGAGGAGAAGCCAATGAAGGGACTGGAGTGGCAGGAGGGGAAGATGCCTAGACTACGTGCACACGCCCCAAGACATAGGGTGACCAGCTGCAGAGGATCAGTCACAGTCTGGTTTGCTTTCCTTGGGCAGTTTGTTGCGAGAGGGTTCAGTGGAGGAAGCCTCCATTCACCAGAGCCAGACGGATACGAGCATGGATGACAGCAAGGCACCATGCGGGTCTCTCAGAACCAGTAATATTATGACCAAGAGGGTTTCTCTACACAGCAACGTAAGCCATGGGTTATACTGGGACTCGAGTCAGCTGACCCCCGCAGGAAGCCTGGGCTTGAGCGCCAACACTGTATTGTAACCCTGGGTTAAGGATTTTCTGACCCAGGCTCGAATCTAGGGCTCTGGCCTCCACGCTGCAGTGCACAGACCAGGGTCAAAGTAACCTTATCCCAGAGTGCGTGGCCCCCCTCCCGGCCTCCGTGTCGACACTCTAGCCCTACAAATGTGTGGCACTGTGGGAAAACTCAACTGCCCACCCTGTCTCCTCACTGTGACGGTGCTGCGGACAGGACTCAGGTGCTGTAAGGAGCAGGAGTTCATAAACAGCGTAATTAGCTCCTTCGGTGGCTGTCCCCGTAGGATGACTGCTGCCCGGGGAGGCTTTATACTGAACCGATTTGAGAACTGGGCTCGCCAGCTCCAGGCTGAGTCAGGCTGGCGGGAAAATGCCCTGGGGCATCTGTTCTGAGGATAATTAGGACATCAGTCTCCAGGGCCATCAGATGATTAAACTGAAACTTTGCAATGCTGAACGTTTAAAATGGGTTGTTCAATGAAGGGGTTTTTGGTTGGTTGGTTTTTTATTTATTTTTGTCTGTTTTGAAGTTGACATAAGATGTAGGTTTCGGAGGAAAAACACTCGCACATACCAGCCTGGCGGCTGCCAGCTACAAAGCATTGAAGTGCATCCCCTGGGCTTGGGGAGCAGTGTGCTCCAGCACCCCTCCGAGATCAGAGGTGGATTATGGTTTTGTGGGGCCCTGGGCCCGAGCAAGCGGCTGTTCTCCCGCCCCAGCGCGGTTGCTGGGGAAATGGGGGTTGTGGCACAGGGGCTTGTCCTGCCCCCCAAGTCCAGCACTCCTGCCGGAGAGCAGGGTCGGGGAGTGCCAGGTGAGCGGGCAGACGGAGCAGGGCATGCCCACTTTTCCAGGCCCCCCGGGCACTGGCCCCGTTGGCCCAGTGACTAATCCACCACTGCCTGGGATCCCTTATTCCTGTACCTGCCATGCCCCAGGAGGCAGAGATAAGGGATCCCTGGGAGGATGTGGGGAATTTTGGGGCTGACTCCCACTCAGCACCCTGACAGTGCACACTAGCCAAGCAGCTCTGCATGCACAGCCCCAGGGAGTGGGAGCAGCCAGAGTGTTGGGGGTCATCCTCCCCTGGCCATGCTGAGCAGGGAGCTCTGCCACTCCCTCTCCCTGCAGGGTAACCCAGGCAGCACGCACCAAAATCTGACTGTGCTCTTGTGACTCAAGCAGCTCTCTTTGCAAAAAATGTCTTCTGATAGGTCTCCACTGAAAACCCTGCAGGCTCTCTGGTAGCATGCTTGAAGACCAGTGTTCAGCAGACAATGGGTTTATATTGATCTCAGCTGTTATCTTTGCAAAGAGACGTGTGGTTTCCATTTGTAAGCAAGTGCAATAGATTGCATCACAGACTGTTAGCATGGAGAGGACTAAGGAAGTTGCCCCAAGGAACTCTGGGATACAACTGGAAGAACTGGAGCACTAGAATGGGTTTCCTAGGGAGGTGGTGGAATCTCCATTCTTAGAGGTTTTTAAGGCCTGGCTTGACAAAGCCCTGGCTGGGATGATTTAGTTGGGGTTGGTCCTGCTTTGAGCAGGGGTTGGACTAGATACCTCCTGAGGTCCCTTCCAACCCTGATAGTCTATGAATCTATGAATTCTGGGACCCAAGTCAAGCCGGGGCTGCAAGCATACACAAAAGCAATAGGGCTCGGACCCTAGGTCCCAAGTTAACATGGGCTCGGACCCTCCAGCCCTGCAGGGTCCTGGGACCCTAGGTTCGAGCCCTAGGTTAACACAATTGGTGTGTGGAAGCAAGGGGGATTAGGTTTGAGCCTAGGCTTACGTTGCTGTGTAGACATACCCCTAAGAGGCTCCAATGCACTGGACAGATGTGACATGAGGAGGAAGAAGCATTTAAAAGTCATTATCAATGCCCCAGCTGTGGCAAAACTCCCCTCAGAAACGCACCAACTACCTTCTGGGGAGTGAACACAGCAAACACCTGCAGCTAACTGGGACCAAGCAGTTCTGCCCTCCCCCAGGCAGGCCCAACAGCACAGAACCGTTTTGTAAGAGGAGAGAATTTTCTATCATACTAAACCCCCCAGACCCTGCTCCCGGCACCTGGAATTTCCCCAGTGCAAACCGTTAACTCAAAATGAATCAGCGCGTGACACCACAGCACCATGGCGGAGGCTTTAAGCTACCCACGGCTGCCGAAGGGCATGTGGAAAAGGCTGAGAAGGGCGCACCTAAACCACCACCACCACTAGTAGTGGGCAATATTGGATTAAAAATGAGCCCGGCCCCTTTTCAGTAAAGCCAGCTACAGTCTGAACATTGAGAGCGCGCAGAGGGCTGTCTTGAAAGCCTGCTGGGACTTGCACTATCATCTCTCTAGGGTCGCAACATTTCTGCATGTGGTTCTTTTGTTTCTTCCTGGTGTTTTGCTGTTCCACACACCTATGAACACATAACAAACCTGAGTGTTTCCATGGCAAGACTCCCTGCATGGCTGAGCCACTTCTAAGGCCCCCCAAATATCATTCCTCTCGCTGGAACAATCCACTTCTTCAGAGCGGCCTCTTACTCCAGGTGCTTCAATGGACACACAATATTTGCACTGGGCCCAAAATCTGGCTTTTGAAGATATTCTACAAGGCTTAATGGAAATTCCAGACCCACTGGACAATCCCCAAAACAGTCACTCATTGCGGACCAGTGCTAAGGTGAAACTGACATGTCTATTTTCACAGCCCAAGCTGAGTGAGGTGCAAAATGTGAACCAAGCGCAATTAGTGTTAAGTAAATGAGATTAAACCCTCCCCCTCATTTCTGCACCATTTCCACCAGCCCCAGAGATTTTATACGTTGCTTTTCAAAGTATGATTCATAGGCAGCAATGTCACTTTAAGGGACAGGAGAGGCACAGATCACTTCATCAGCCACTAAGATGTGTTCAGGGATCCTGGATAAGGCCGAGGGTCCCTGCCCAGAACCCCTCCCGTCCTTAACTCCACTTACTGCAAACGATGCCTATTTCGGAGCTGTATGTCTACACCCTGCCAAGCTCTGTCCATCTCTGGGTTCACACACACACACCGACTGGCTGGTCCCAAAGCTCACCACAGCAATATGTGCCTTAGGGACAGTTCTCTGTGACGGCACTGCACGTGACCTGTGAACCCCCCCAGGGCATTTCTTCCGACTCGCGAGGAGAGATGCCATGACAGCTGGTACCAGACTAACCTGCTGCTCATGCCAATTACTAGTCAGTTCCTGTACAGTCATCCTGCTAGATAAGCAAGTAGCATTAGAACAGTAAATGGAACATTAACGGCAATTTGGTACTATCTACTTTCAAACCCCCAGCTTTCCTGACTAGCCCTTAAGAGGACTGATTGCTGGCAAGAAGACCGAGCCAGCTGCCTTTCTGCTGTACCTATCTGCTGTTTCATCTCTTGGCCTCAACTGCTCTGCCTGTCAGCCTTTGGCTCTGGACCTTGACACCTGTGCGGGACTCTGTCTGCTGAAGAGAGTCGCCAGCGAACTGTCTGGCATGGAAGAGGCTCCTGCGAACAAGAAAGCGAGCGGGAAATAAACGAATGAGATACGAGCTCATCTTAATCCGCTCCCACATCGGGGTTATGCTCTTGTATCCAACCCTCCATAGCTCACTCAACCCCCAGCCCCCTTGCTCACCATCTGCCCTGCCCTCCACCAGGACAAACCTGTTCCCTCTCTCTGTGGGAAGGGCTCAGCGATGGATGCCAACGTCTTCCTCATCAAGAGGCCTAGTCCAGCTGAGAATTGCTGTGTGGTTTCTTTATGCCCCTCCAACAGCCTTAATCCAGATTTGGTCACTCTGCCGTATCTAGGGGGAGAGGTAGTTCTGCCCCCATTCTGTCTAGGGATCAGAGGCAGTAAGCTGTGACCGACAGCTATCCCATATTATAATAGGGAAAGTTAATATGCTTCTGGAAATGGGCAAGATGTCCTAGCTCATTCTCCTTTGGGCCCTAAAGCAGAGTTTAAACTAACTAAGGAGATCTGAACTCCAGCCCTGAAAGGGCCAAACTTATTGATCATCATCAAAAACACATGCAAGAAGCTTCCTCAGCACTCAATTACAGAACTGCTTAAAATCCTTCCCTTCAGAGCCAACGAACACAACCCCCCATGCGCTAGGACTGAGCTCCCAAACTGTCTGCTCTTTAACAGCAAAACAGGGCAATTTAAGGTACTTACTGAGGTCAGTCAAGACAAGAACTACCTGTTTAAATGGAGGCAGACAGACATTTTAGCTTTCCCCCATCATCTAGGCTAGCCAGGTGTGAGATAAAAGCCTTTATTTCCCTTGAAAACAGGCAGTTAAGTGGGATTCACACACAGAATAGCTGCAGGTGTTGGGCTTTAACCGAACTGCAGGCAGGTCAGCCTTTCCCAATTCTCAAGGCTGACCCTTCCCCCTCAGAGGTTCCAGGATTAGCTGGGGAGAGAGGACCAGTGCAGACTTACAAGAGACTGTCACAGGATTATGCCCTGATGCTCCAGCCCTTCTTGTCTGAATGACAGAATCACATCTATACTGTCGCATCATAAGCTAACGGCTAGTTCTCACGTTTTGATTTTCTGGGATTCTCTTTTGCTCACAGGGCAGCGGAGGCATAATGCAACTGCTAACATCTACCGTGCGTTCAATGCTGAGAGCGCTTTACAGCCATCCTCCACCTCCTGCGGACGGCAGCGGGCAATGGCACCATCCCCATTTCACAGAAACGGGAACAGAGGCAGAGCAGCAACTTCACTTGATCAAGACCACAGAGTCAGTGTAAGGGAAATCCAGCCTTGGGTTCCCCAGACACGCTCCAAGGCTCCCAGTCGGAGGGAAGAACCTGTCTGATACCTGAAAGTGAGTTTGTTTTTCAAATGCAGGTGTGAAGGAAAAGTCTGCCACTCTGAGATTTGAGTTTAGGTTCCGTGAAGATTTAAAGGTGAAATGTGCTAACTAATTAGTCCGCAGTCAGATCCCTTGGTTAAGGGTGAATGTTTGAGCCAACTTCTTAGCCTGGGATGGGCTGGCCCGGCCCGTGAATACTTTTCACCGGGTTTATAAACTATGCATGTGCCTAGTCCACATTTACGTTCCACACTTGAGTGGAGCATGGATGAGCTCTACTGATAGATTCTGAAGGGAGTTGCCGAAATGCGAGAATATCTAACAAGAGGCAGGACATTCAGAGTTAAGTTGACAGCATTTAACACGCTACTCTTCTGCCTTAAGGGTGACAGTTTTAGGGATGAGCCGTCAGCCTTTCCTCAAAGTTTCGATTTTCTCCTAACAATATTTAAATATGGAGGAGAGTTGCGTTTAATTTAACAAGGTTTTAATTCTAGGTACAAAGTCAACCCCACAATCTGGAGAATCAATGCACTTTCTCTCTGTGAAGGAAAGGCCCTGGAGTGCATGTTAGACTAGCTACTGCAAACACTCTGCCAGCAGAGAGCCATGCTAGCCCAGCACTTGGGATGCTTTGTTCCGCACACTTCAGCAATGCCGTTTACACAAAAGATGCTATATACAGAGGTATCAAAATGCTTCCTGTCTCCAAATCTGCTGCCTTCCACCAACCCAGATCTACCCCTTTCAGAATTGAGAAAATGCCCTCCTGGGAAAGGCAGAGTGCACTTTACAAATAAGCTGGATTATTAAAAAAGAGAAGGTCAGACAGCAGAAGCCTTTAAATAACCAAGCTTGTTAAAGAACATCATAAGGTTCTCTATTCTACTGCCCTCTTCCCAGGGCTTCCTGGGCTCTGGACAAAAGAATTCTACTCCATTTTATAACCGTGCTTACTCACCAGGAATGCCTTTCCAATGTGCGCTCACCACGCAAAGCTATTGAGAACCTCTCCAACACACACTGTACTGGCTGTGACGTGACCTGTGTTCACGAGACTCTTACAGGCCCACGGGTCCCGGCTTTGATACTCACGTGATTGTTTTCATTTCCTTCTTCTCCGCGTCTGGACGGGCACGGTTCAGCACCTTGAGGAAATCTGACGTTTTTGCCCTCATACGCGTGTGAATATAGGCCTGGGTTGCATTACAAAACAAACGCTGAAGGTTCCATTCGCACACTTTGGTTTTCAAACATCAGCTGGTATCATCCTAACAGGACTAAACCCTGAAACCCCGAGGGCTGGCCTGAGGGGTGGAGCGTGCATACTACCCTGTGGGGATCACGGACAGAACCGAAGAAGAGGGCAGGGTTTAAAACGTGCCCCCTCTGCAGACTCAATTCCACATTCAGGGATTATGCAGCACATGGCATTTCTGAAGGGCTACACGCTATCCTCTCAGCGTTGGAAGCACGTGAAGCAGAGAGGTGGAGATGAACTCTGCATTTAAGACCCTCCCCCGCCCCTCCAGAACCCAGCGTTACATGAAATCAGCACAGTCCCCGCTGTACCTTGGAGCATTTGATATGATAGTGCAGGTAGTCCCGGAACGTGTGGATCAGGTTGATGGTGTTGTCCCTGGCAGCGGGGTTGGTGTGGCGGGGGAACAGCACTGGAAAGATAAAGCAACAGCGCAAGGAGTTTTATTTCCGACCCAGGCTGAGCACCAGCTAGGAAGAGTGGCAGAGGCAGACACACCCACGTCTCTCGGATATGAACAGCTACTGAAGAGCTGTTTGAATACATGAGCCTTAACACACACGAGATCCATGCAAGAGCCCTTGCCTGCACCATATGCCTGAATGGCACTTGGAATTTTAACACAAGGCTTAACAGCACTGCTCCAAAATTTGCCGTCTCAGAGTCACCCATGGCAACACTGACAGCTGTACGATCTGATAGTCTGGTTGACACAGGTGACTGGAGTTAATCTGAAGATGATCACATCATTGTACCTGCAAAAAGTACTTCTCATTCACTTTTCCTAAGCTAGACGAATGTCTTTCAACAGACATCTTAAGAGGGCAGAGAGGCAAAATAAACTAAAAACTGGTCTGTTCAGTGAATGAAACATGGAAAGAAACCTAATCCCGCCTGTCTCTTCTAAACTAGTAACAAAGACCCCATACATATTTTCTACTAATGACAGAGCAGAAAATCTTCTTCCTGATCTAATGCATAGAGAAAACCTCATGACCATGAAGATTTAAGAGGCCAGGTAGAGAATGTGTGATTTTACATGGCAAATCAATACTGTATTCATGTCAGAATTCTACCCTTTGACATGACCCTTGCTCATCACCAGACCCTGCCAATCACCCCACCCCCAGCTCCAAGCTGACAGGGCAGATACACTTGGACAGCACCTTGGGAAGCCATCAGGTGCTGCTGATTGCCCTGTCACCGCTGAATATAATCTGCTAAAACCCCGATGCATCCGGAGGAAAATAACTGTCCAGGACGAAATTTTGCATCCTTCTGCCACAGTACAAACAGAAGTGCCTTTCACAGAAGGCAGGTCTCAGCACTGCCATGTGACCTGTCCGCTTGCTGGATAAGCCAAGCGCTATTAGTTACGCCGGCCCAGGAAGCAAGGTGCCAACCGTGAGTGGCAGACATGTACAGTTCCAAGGGCTGTTATTTTGTGGGAACAACTCAATTACCATTCCCAGGACTGACAGGCCTCTGGCATGGGGCTAATTTCACAAGGGGGCAGTTAAATCTGACATTGAAGAAGAGCTGCTCACACATAAAGCCTGTGATCTAAAGCGAGTTGCAGACCTCGTGCGTGGTCTAAGATCTGCTATTACATTGTGCTCCCATATCACTCACGAGTTGCCAGATGTCTCTGAGATACGAATCTTAGCTCAGGACTCTTGTACAGACAGGTATCGCAACAACACACCAGTATGAACTTCGCTTTATTCAGCAAAGGGAGGCAGCAGCATCTGTGCGTCCTACTCTCAAACGAGTGCAAGAAAGGATGCTCTGAAGTGAAAAGCCTTAACATACTGACCCACTTTCGTCCCAGTTTCATCTATTGACTAAAAGGTGTAGCCAATCGTTAACTGCACTTGTGGCTCATTCTTAAAAATGTTCAAGAGGCCAAATAACCGAACTTAACCAAACGTATTGCCTAAGGACAAAATAGTACCATGAAAAAATGCGACAAATATCCTCCTTCTGGAAAGCAATTCTTATCTCGCAGGACGTTCACCTTACACCAAAGGTGCGCTTTGGAAATACGTATTTATACTAGCTATATTTATAACATGGTTTTACAAAACGTTTCAAAACTTTCTGTATGTAACAAAAATCCAACCCGCCAGTTTGTACTTGTTGCTCTGTATCTTCCTTCTCTCTGTTTTGGATACTAGCATCCCAGGTACTGGTCTGTGAAGTTACATCCCTACACTTTCCCTTATCTCGTTTCAAATATTACATCCAAAGTGCTGATGAGCCATGCCAGGACTCCCTCACTGTCCTTGGCACAAGGTATTCATGCATCTTTGCTTTGACAAGGTTCCTGTTCTCTAATGCCAAAGCTGACTTCAGCTTTGCCAAGTGCTGGGGCATACCTGTCACGCGTGAACAGAGCTGTGGGAAGATCCTGATCATTCAGTTAACAACTTCCCAAAGCCACATACATAACGTACATTACGTCAATACCATGTGCATAATGCCTATCAGTGTGCCGCACTCTACACCTACACCTAGGTATTGGTGAACACCTCCATATTTTTATTACTGGAGTCTTGGAGAGCAGTCCTCACTTAGGCCTGTCTGATCCACGCAGGGCAAGAGTGCCCAGCACACAGATCAGAGCCCGGTGCCAAGCATCACAGGAAAGGATTGGGACAAGTGTAGCAGAGCATGCTGCAGCTCAAGAACCACGTGTATTGGCACAGCTCTCATGGAGAAGTCTGCACAGTGCCTGCTTCCATATCTACCACTAGCCGATACTAACAGCTCCTAAGTCATGGGCAAAGTTGCACAAAAATGGGCTGGAGGGCACACTATTCCAGGGGAGTATCTAGCACCATGTGGTGCTTTGCAAATATTAACTAGCCCTCCCAGCACCTGGCAAGCAAGTATCTCGGCTTTACAGATGGAAATTAGAGGCAGAGCTCTAATGATTTGTCCAAGACCAAAGAGAATGCTGGAGAGCCAAGATGGAAGTTTCAGGTCCCAGCTGTGCATTCAGACCATGCGTCTAATAGAACATTTGCAACACACACATTTGTGGCCAAACAAATTATACAAAAAATATGCACATCTTTCCCCAAATGAATAACTCAAAGCTATACCCCTGGTCATCAACTGAACCTGTATTTTCAAAACAACACAATGCATCAAATCATAAAATCTGTTTCTATTTTTCCCATTATTTAACATGCTTAATGACCTGGGCTATCAAATGATTAACCTTCCCCTCTCTGTTTCCTCATCTCCTGTTACAGAGAACAAGGAACACTTTGAACACAGAAAATGGATGTCATTTATTTTTATCAACAGGAGAGGAGAGATGACAGATGATGATGTGATATGGACTTCTGTTACCCCCAAAACCTCTTTTCAAACTACAGGAATTTCATGTGTCTCTCTCCACCCCAACTGAGGAATATTCAGACAGGTTGTTGTTATTACTACTACTGTATATAAAGTTGTGGTGCACCACGACAACGTGACATTATCAGCATGCACCGGAGCCAAGAATTGCGGAGCAAAAACTCGGAACATTTTCCCACGCTGCTCTGACCAATCTGCATCAGTCTTAACTTGCAGCATTCCTATTTCAGTCGTGAGCCACAGACTGCCCATCTTGCTGAGCCATTCAATGGTTTCAGGCTGGGAACACGTGTCCAATAGGGATTGTCATTACCAGTTGCGTGCATGGCACTTTACGGCCAATTAGCAAGACAATTGTCCAACGTTTACAGGATGCCTAGGCTGGAAGGAGTGTAAGACTCACTGCCCAGAGGGACAGGTACCTGGTCCCCTGAGGTGAATGACTGCTGCATCAATCTCTGTACTGCATCCCACTCCATATGCAGAACCATGTCACAAGGAGTTTCACGGTTTCACTCCCAGTCTCAAGCAATGAGACAGCGTGAAACAGCTCTCCGCAGTGAACGCTGGAGGACAGGGATAAATTGCCCTTCCTGGGCCCAGCTTACCAAAGGTGATGTAGCCAATGTTGTCACCTACTGCTGCGTCCGTGTCTTTCAGTTCAAGGGGGGGCTCCCTGTGGCTGAAGAGCACCTGTGGAGCTGTGTGACTGGCACGGCGGCCTTCCTTAAATTCCTGAGCAGACAAGACAAAACCAACATGAATTCACGCAAGTGTAAGACAGGCCAAACGATCCTGCTTTAAGTGTGAACACTGGCTTCTGAAACCCCCTCACCTCCCACACACGCAACATGCCCATAGCTCCCACTGTTCCATACCGGACATTAGAACCCAAAATCTTTGACATTCGAAGTGCTGACTTTAATGTGCCAGCCTTCCCTTACAGAATGTGAACAAGGATTTTTCCTTACAGGGGATAAGAAATATTTAGTTCAGTGGAATCAGAGTCCTGTTACACCAAAGATTTCCTAACCCCATGTGAGCTTCGTTTATTAGATTAAAACCCTGCCAAATTAACCAACAGTAACACAAGCTCAGATCAGGAACATGAAGCTTAGGAGTAGAAAGCATCCTACTTCACACAAAACAAACGGCCTAAAATCATAACACGAGAAGAGACGCTGAAGAGCAGTCACTAACAAGGGTCATTTGTGCTTTCCCAGGCGAGCTGCTTCTGACGGCGTCAATTTCATTGCAAAATTGTTTCCTTCTTTAGGACACAAGAGAATTAAAGAATTTAACTGCGAATGACATCGCATTTCATGCAGAATATGAGAAGTATGTGAAAGAACAGGTACCAATTGAAACTAAGCCTTAACCCAACACTAACTAGGTGAAACTCAGCCAAATGCTACTAGTGATAAACTGCGGGTTACAAAATGCAAAATCCCCTAAGGTTATAACAGATGGGAGGCTGCTGGCAGGATGTTCCCCATATGGGCCCCAGGGCTCTAGTATCTCTCTCTCACCATCCTGCAAAATAGCCCAGATTTGTCAGCTTTCAGGGCACGTTTGTTTCATGTGCCCTTTGACACGAGGTGGGGGTACTGGCTGGTGTATGAAGAGCAGCTACTTGGCAGAAGAGCTGTCTGAAACATGTATTAGTTTGGTAATAGGTCCTCGTGGCGTGCTCACGGCTTATATATGGAGCATTTTCATGATCCTAACTTGGAATAAAATAAGCGAAGAAGTGATGTGTCCCACAGTTCTAACATAACAAATATACAGATGTGAAAGACCTGCAGCCACCCTTTTCAGGCTGAGAGGGCCCCATCTCCTGACCTCACCCAAACCACGTAGTGCTGTTTTCCTTAATTAACCACACACACACTACTTGCAGCTTCACCCCTTCACATGAGGTACGTGCACCCTGCTAACTCAACATGTAATGTATCACACAGATAGTTATCAGCTGTCCTTCCTTAGCTGTGCATGGTCTTCAGTGTCTGAACTCTTCACCCTCCATACCCGTAGCATGTTCCTTGCTCTAGAAATGGAAGGAGAAACACATGCATCCCTGATCTGGGAGAGTTCAGGTAGGTTACTAATTAATCTACCGGGGCAGTTTATTGGGATTTCTCTGTATTAAACTCTACAGCTTTGACTTCCAAAGGCTAAGGCCAATGGATAAAAGAGATCAAAGAGCTTCGCCCTGGCTGAGCTGGTTAATGGTGGATTCTCTCCATGAAAGGAAAGCTCGGTTGTAGCTAATGTTCGACACAGCCACATTACATAACTGAGCAGAGGAAGGGCAAGAACTAGAGGAACGTGTTAGCATGACTCAGAAGGGAAATTCCTGTGGTTTGAACAGCAAGTTTTTAGAAGCTTTGGAGGGTACAGAGTCCGGAGCAGCATCCCCTGGAAGGCTCACTGCAGCCCAAAACCTGTTTTATTAACTCTGTGGTTTCCCCTCATTTCATAAAGCTGAAATTCAGGGACCCCAGCTTCAGCGTAGCACTGTGCACTTAGAGTTGGGAATTTTGACAAGTGCTGGGGATTTCACGTTTAAAGCAGATCCTCTGCTCTTAACTCATGCCACAGCAGAGAGAAAGACACACAGTGCAAGCTAAGAAGCCAGCATCGGCCTTTACTCTGGAACATGCTCGCTGACGTGGGCTGGAATGAGTCTTACACTACTAGGCCATCACAAGGTTAATACTTGTTAGCTGGGTTTCACCCTGGCCAGCAGCCTAAGCTGGCACCTAGCTGTTCTCTTACTAGACTGGCTGGGTCCTCCTCCCTCCTAGCTCTCCGTGCAACAGGACATACCAGAGCGCACTGCTCCACATGTCTTGTGCCACTACACGCAGGCTGCCCCCTGCTGAGGCATTATGGAACAGCTGCCCAGATTCTTCCCAGAATGCACTGACTGGCAGCACCACGGGCATGGCTGGATAATCGTACCCGGCAAACGGCTGTGGTGGGAAGAAAGCTGGTGCATGGCTGGTTTAAGTGGTTTAGATAAGCATTCTGAACGTGCAGGCAGAACGTCAGATGGACGAAACTTCAGCCTGCCAAACTCAGAAAGCAGTCACATAACATGCAAATTGTTTCTGAGATAAGAGAAGAACTCTAGTGTGGCTAAGTGACAAGTACGATGGGAAAAACAGTCTACAAATAATTTACCTTTAAGATTGAGATGAAAAAGCACTTATCCCAGGCTCTAAGCATAGTCTTTCAAACACACACACAAGCAATACCCAAAAACCCACCAACCCCTCAAGACAGCGTATTAGTGCAGACTAGGGCAGTTTTTAAGGTGGAACACATTTCCAGAGACTCTCAGAAATATAGGCCTGGAAGGGACCCTGAGAGGTCAAAGTCCAGCCCCCTGCACTGATGTAGGACCAAGTAAACCTAGACCATCCCGAACAGGGTTTTGTCCAACCTGTTCTTAAAAACTTCCAGTGATGGAGTTTCCACAACTTCCCTTTGAAGTCTATTCCACAACTTAACTATAGTTAGAAAGTTTTTCCTAATATCTAACCTAAATCTCCCTTGATGCAGATTAAACCCATTACTCCTTGTCCTACCTTCAGTGGACACGGAGAACAATTGATCACTGTCCTCTTTATAACAGCCCTTCACATACCTGAAGACGTATCCGGTCCCCCTCAATCTCTTTTTCCAAGACTAAACATGCCCAATTTTTTTAACCTCTTGTTATAGGTCAGGTTTTCTAACCCTTTTATCATTTTTGTTGCTTTCCTTGGGACTTTCTCCAATTAATCCGTATCTGTCCTAAAGTGCAATGCCCAGAACTGGGCACAGTGCTCCTGTTGAGGGCTTCCCAGTACTGAGCAGAACGGGGCAATGATCTCCCATGTCTTACATACGACACTCCTAGTAATACTTCCCAGAATGAGATTAACCTGTCTTTGGAACTGCATCACAGAGCTGACTCGTATTCAATTTGTAATCCACTATAATCCCCACATCCTTTTCAGCAGTACTGCAGCCTAGCCAGTTATTCTCCATTTTGTAATTCTGCATTTGAGCATGAGCATCCTTCCTAAGTGAAGTACTTTGCACTCGTCTTTATTGAATTTCATCTTGTTGACTTCTGACCAATTCTCCAATTTGTCAAGATCCTTTTTAATTCTAATCCTGTCCTCCAAAGTGCTTGCAACCCCTCCCAGCTTGGTGTCATCTGTAATTTTATAAGCATCCTCTCTACTCCGTTACTCAAGTCATTAATGAAAATACTGATGACTACCAGACCCAGGACTAACCCTTGCAGGACCTCACTAGATGCGCCCTCCCAGTCTGACAACAAACCATTGATAACTACGCTTCGAGGGCAGTCTTACAACCAGTTTGCATCCATCTTATAGTAATTTCATCCAGACCACATTCTATAGTTTATTTATGAGAACGTCATGCGGGTCTGTCAAAAGCCTTACTAAAATCAAGATACACCACGGCTACTGCTTTCCCCCATCCACTAGGCCAGAGACCCTGTCAAAGAAGGAAATGAGCTTGGTTTGGCATGATTTGTTCTTGACAAATCCATGCTGGCTAGTCCTTATAACCCTATTAAACTCTATGTACTTACAACTTTATTAATAAGTTGTTCCAGTATCTTTCCAGATATCAAAGTTCGGCTGACTGATCTATAACTCCCCAGATCTTCTTTGTTCCCCTTTTTACAGATAGGTATTTTGTTTGCCCTTCTCCAGTCCTCTAGCCTCATCGGTCCTCCAGGAGTTCTCAAAGATAATTGCTAATGGGTCTGAGATTGCTTCAACTAGTTCCTGAAGAACCCTAGAATTAATTTCATCAAGCCCTGCCAACTTGAATACATCGGACTTATCTAAATATTCTTTAACCCATTCTCTTCTCATGTTGGCTTGTATTTCTTCCCCCTTGCTGTTAATATCAACTGTGTTGGCTATAACATTTCCTTGAGCAATTCTTTCATCGAGAGAAGCTATATGCTCTAATAGGATTCATTCTTGGAACAAAGAAGGGAACAGCCTGATTCCTGAATGCAGCACAACACTAAGGCAGGACTGGCCCAGGCAAGGAGCATCTTCAGCATACCCCTCCCCCCCATTTATTAAACTTTTCAATACCTTATTTTTATTGCATTTGTAGCCCATTTCACGCCTTTGATGCATGACTTGCATGCATGATTTATCCTTGTCATACAAGACAATAAATTTGCATGCTAGGATCTGTAAATCTGTATTTATTCATGCCATATACAAGCAAAGAAAAAAATTCATTTCCTCTATGCTTTCAGAATTACACAATAAAACAAAGTTCACAATATCGCAACTGGGCTCTCACTTCACTTTGTTCTTGTATCTCACTGAATGACTGGCAACACCCCGCCCCGTATATACCCGCGAGGGCATAGCTGACAACATTCTAGGAGATTCAAGGAAAATGTAGTTCTCAGAATGTCTGGAATGTTCCACGAGATTCTACAAAGGCCCAGAACATTCTAGGAGGTTAGTGAAAAAACGAATCCACATAATAGAATACCTGAAACATTTTACTTCAAATGTTCTATTTTCCCTTTTGTCGCTAACAAATACAGCCCATCTCCCCGTCCCCAGCACCCCAGGTGGTAGCCTGCCCCTATATCCAGCCCCGCACTGTGATCTGGACCAGCTTAGAGATAATGCATTTTTGGATGGTCCTGTCTACTATACAGGTACAAAGTGACACCAGGGCATTTCCCATACTAACAAAGGTTTGCTCTGGTGTCCTTTGCCAAAATTCAACCTTCCCCTACCGTGCTGACTTCTAGCTGGCTACTGCTGAAACCTACACCATGGGTGGCTGCATTTCAATGGAATCGTGTGTATGCTGAAGTATTCTTTGATTAAAGGAATTACGTAAATATGTAAAGAACAGGAGGACTTGTGGCACCTTAGAGACTAACAAATTTATTAGAGCATAAGCTTTCGTGGGCTACAGCCCACTTCATCGGATGCATAGAATGGAACATATAGTAAGAAGATATATATATATACACATACAGGTAAGTTGGAAGTTGCCATACGAACTGTGAGAGGCTAACTAGCTAAGATGAGCTATTATCATCAGGAGAAAAAAAACTTTTGTCATGATAATCAAGATGGCCCATTTAGAGAGTTGACAAGAAGGTGTGAGGATACTTAACTTAGGGAAATAGATTCAATATGTAATATGATCAACTGTGTTAAGCCAGCAAGGAATTCAATAGTTAAAGACACCAACATGACAGACCAGACGAGAAGAGAAACTGTCTAAGCTAATTAATGTGGTACGGCCATCCAGTAGAGTTCTGTCCCGCACAGAATACACTGCTGTGAAGCATTTAAATGCATTAAGCCACCAGTGATGCCACTTCAGTTCAGAGTCTACTTGTTCAGTGATTCTACTTTGAGAAGAAGTGGGTATATTTCTGGATTATGCCATTTATAAACACCTATAAACAACTCAATGTCCTTCAGGTTCCATACCTGCATGAACACCTTTCCAATCACCACGTCATCGTCATCCTTAAATACTGTGCTGAACACAACCGTAACGCGGTCCTTCTTTGATTCAACGTACCTGGAGGAAAACCAAGCCACTGTGAGGACAGGCTTAAAACTTCACATCTGGAACTTGCAAACCAGTTTGCTGCTGCCACATACAACCCAGATGAATGAGGCACAGCCACCAGGTGATCTGTGTCAGCATATTCTTGTGATAAGTCACAAGATGGGCTCCATGCAGCGAGCTGTAGTAACTGCAAGAAATACTGGCCATACTCAGGGACAGCTGCTGGAATATATCAAATCCCCTCGGCCTGGAAACTTGAGCATTCCACAGGGAACCAGGCACAGCATTCGAGAGTTGAACTCCATTGTCCCCCACAGTAAAAGGTGATGTCACTAACAGGTCATTGGGTATTAAACCTCTGTCAGTCAGATGGACAAGCGTTGTCTTAGCTACACACCACTGACAGGCTGAAGGATAAGCAAGCCAACGCATAAAACACTGGGGACTTCGCAGCTTACCACAGGACTTCCTACACATTTGAACACAAAGGCCTGGAGCAGATTTAAACACTGCCTGACAACTTTCCTGTGCTGATGAACACTGTGGGAGCGGCAGGACAGGGGATGCACTCTGCATGCTTACATCGTCTCATCGTCCCTGTAATGGATGACAGCTCTCTTCTCCCCATCCTTCCCCTCTTCCTGGCATTTGAAATACTTCTCGAAGACAGAGGCAAAGCAATTCCGCTTCAGCATGCCAGCTTGGTGCACAATGGAATCCTTGGCTGCAGGAAGGTTCTCCAGGTCATATAGCAAAGAGACATTGTAACCTGGAGAGGGAGGTTAACCCACCTTTAACCATTTATAATCTTTCTTAAATAAGAGACGTTAGACACTTGCAGAGGCAAAATCCTACTGTGCAAACCCTTCCACATTAGCTTGTAGGTTGTCTCCTTCTTCTCACCCCTTCCGAAGCCCTAAAGGGTGTGGGACCACACTAATGTCAGCGTGACACTTTCTAACTCAGAGGAGGGAGCGGCCATCTAACTGAACTCAGAGCGAGGCCATGGTAAGATTAAGCTTTCTTTCCCCATCTCAAAGGCAGAAGCAATGGCTCAGTAGTTCCTGCTCCTAAATTTTGTAATGTGTGAGTAGGAAGAGAGGTTGTTGCAAGTAACCATGGTTTTCTGAATCTCATTAAATGCTTGTCAGTCTCATCACACAGAACAAAAATCCCTATTGTAAGGAACGGAGGCGTTCTCAGGGGTGGAATCAAGAATTATGGTCCGTGCTGCAGACAAACGCTGCCCTGCTGTACCCAGCCCACCTTGATTTTTTTTGTTTGTTTTAAATGCCTTTCAGTTGTACTAAGAGCCCAACGGTGCCGAAGCGCAGTGCTCATCTGAACCTCATTTATAAAGCAGCACGAGAGCCACCTTTGCCGTCTGCACACATTTAAAAAAAATGTAATTATATTCAGGCTTACCTGCTTCTGGATTTACCAAGAAGTTTCCATACACTCTCTTCAATAACTAGGAAACAGACAAAACATCAGCAGTGTCAGTCTTTCCTTCGCAGCACATCCCACTTTCCCCCCCACTAATACCTTCTCCCTTTTTTCAAAGGTTTTGCCTCAGCTTTCTGGACACTGGTTTAGGCCACGTCTGGTCTTCAGCCAGAACCCCAAATTATGGACTTTTGCAGGCTAGATCCTCAACAACCCTGTCGCTGGCCTCACTGAAAATTAGTCTCAGGCTTCCATGTTTTACAGAACTAGCTTCCACCTATACTCTGGACAGGCCCCCCACATAGACTATGGTTCCTCAGCCATGAACTCTGGTGCGGAACTGCTGTCCACAATCAAAACTTTCATTTTTAAAAAGGTCTAGTCTTTACAGTTGCAGAGACAATCTTGAAAACCTGAACCAAGCGTAAATCAATTCAGTAACACCTGCCTGGCTCTCTGCAGACAATAGCTCTAAAAGATGTGAACTGCCTCTTTCATCTCAAGTTGGGCTTTGGGGATGCCATGATTCCAAGGTGCAAAATTCACCTTTTTGTTTTTGTTTTCTATCTCCCTGCCCTGTTGGGACCAGCCTGCACCCATACCTCGCCCTGCAGCTCCCCACAGGGGTAGCTGATTATAATGCATGATCCCTCCACTGTTCCATAGGTCAGGCAGCAGGAGCTGGGCAACCAGAGAGGAAGGAGAGCACCAGAAGTGTAAACGCTAAAGAACAGTGCAGCACCGAGGGAAGATTACCCACTGAAGCCAGCTACAAGCCAATCCTTCCTCGCCCCTATTCTCTGGCACATATGGGGCTGGAGGAGGGAGGTTCTGTGCCAAGCAGCTTAGATAACATCCCAGGAGCTGAGCCACCTAGACAGCATAGTGAAAGAATCTATCTTCAAAAGTAATTGGTGCTGAATTTCACATCAATGACTATTTTCACCTTTGAGTTGTAGCTGTGTGTCTGTGAGGGAGCTGGGAACAAGAAGCATTTCATAGCAACAGAATAAATTAATCTGCAGCTGAATTTAGGGGTGCTTGCTGCAGAAGTTGGTCCCATTATGCCACCTGCTGCACGGGGCCCTGATTCTGCATGACAGGAGACAACAGACATTTAGCTGACCCCGTCTGCTAACGGACTTTGCATCAAGAATTAAGGGATTTTTGCCTGCCAACACCCACATCCAGTGATCAGCATCTCTCTAGCAATAGCTGACGACAACACAGATATTTAAGCTGTGGTGGGAAGGGCCATTCTGCACTCCTCATGCCATCGAGGGTGCTGGCGAGACCATCAGTTGCAGCAGGGGACACGAAATCTTCTCTTCTCCACAGTGCAAAAGACAAATTAATTTAAATGATTTTATTTTAAAATGGAATTGTCATTTCCAAGTACAAGCACGTGATGGATTTAGTTAGCGATTTGGAAACCAACATGGATATTTGTATTTTAAAAATATTTTAATTCTCCCTCTAATGAAGAAATACACTGAGAATCTATATTGGGGGATTCAGAGTAACAGCCGTGTTAGTCTGTATTCGCAAAAAGAAAAGGAGTACTTGTGGCACCTTAGAGACTAACCAATTTATTTGAGCATAAGCTTTCGTGAACTACAGCTCACTTCATCGGATGCATACTGTGGAAACTGCAGAAGACAAACCTGGATTTGTGCTGGAAATGGCCCAACTTGATTATCATACACATTGTAAGGAGAGTGATCACTTTAGATAAGCTATTACCAGCAGTATAGTGGGGTGGGAGGAGGTATTGTTTCATGGTCTCTGTGTATATAATGTCTTCTGCAGTTTCCACTGTATACATCCGATGAAGTGAGCTGTAGCTCACGAAAGCTTATGCTCAAATAAATTGGTTAGTCTCTAAGGTGCCACAAGTACTCCTTTTCTATATTGGGGGAGCCAGAAATGAGGCCCTAACCTTCCACCTGGAAGCGCGGCCCACAGAGACCACAGATCCCACATAGCTACTTGGGTGAAGATGGAACATGATGCTCCAGCTGCGTCTACACTGAACTTTATGTGAAAATCTCTCACCAGTGTGGTAATGCAATTGTCAGAATGCTTGTCTGGCATATTTACCACTGAAAGCGTAGCCCTGGCTCAGAGCGGCTCTAAGCCACATGGGGTAAAAATGCTAGCAGTTGGTCTACACTAGTGCTGCCAGTGTTGTGATCACTAGTGGATTGCACTGATGGGAGATTTGCATAAAAAGTTAAATGCAGACAAGGCTTCTGGGAACCTGTAGTTTCCACAGGCTGTACCTTCTGTATTGAAGGGAAGGGCAGCGTCAGCCTGCTCCTTTACATACTGGTTAAGCATGGTCCTCTGGCTCCCAGTAAGTTCCCACTGCATCCCATGGCTAAGCAAACTTAGTATTCATGAACAATGTCAACAGAAGGCCGTAACAAGATAATCAAATCACTCGTACTTATTCAAACACTGTTTGACTGTTCAAACTCTCCCCATGTTGGAATTCTCTAGGTTTGAGACACTTTCCAGTCATGTGTAAGTAACTCCAAGAGTCATGAGAAATTTCCCCCTAATTTCACAGGAAAAACCAACAAAAGACACCCAAAGGTAAAGTGCTGCATGTCTCTCTGCTGAGACACACGGCATGAACCCCATTAGGTAACATGAGGAGATTTGAAAACTAATTCAGGAACTGACTCATACTTCCTGCTTCAAGATCCAACCACAATGCACAGATGTTCATAAAGGCCTTTTCTTTCTACCATAAATGGCTCTCTGCAGCATAAGCAGAGTTGAACAGGAACTAAACCTGCTACAAAAGCGGAACGAGGCTGTGCAGCCTGCAGATAAAGGCGTGTGCATGTTAAAGGCAGCCTTTCATTTGCTTTAAAGTGTGGTTAGAATGAGAAAAGCAGCACTGTGGGATTCCATATTTATTCACACCGTGACTTCCTTAGCAAGTGAGTTCAGTTTACAAGAGGGTATTTCTAACTTCTGTTGCCCTACACACCATTAGGGGAATCTGAAAAATCAGCTGTGCTCTTCTACCTCTCATGCTTTCATCAGGATCAAAGGCTCTGTAACTGGAACTTATCAGATATCGATTGGAACAGAATTTAGGCTGTTCTTCCAGAATTGCGCCCACTCTGTGTTGGCGATGGGAGTAACATGGTGTCTATTACGTGGTGCAATTTTTCACTTTTCTTATCCACAGGGCCTCGGTAGGATCTTGATCCATTGTAGTCAGTGGGACCCCTCATGGTAGTCAAGTATGCACAACAGAAAGTGTGTGATCAGGGCCTAGAATCCCAGGAAGAAAGGGAAAATCGGAAATGTGGCCACTCACCTCATCTGCACCATGCTCCTGTAGCTCTTTGTAGAATTTCAGAGAAATACTGATCATCACTTTTGTCTTGTCTCCATTGGGGTTGGAAATATGATAAAGGACTCCATCGAAATCTTGGAAGGAAGCAGAGGAGAGGGAGGTTAGGAACTCATGTAATTTCTTAGTTCCAAAGCATTGCATAATGTAAAAGTTTTTCAAAATAGGAACTGTATGGTATAAAGATCTCCCATATTACTGGGCCCACAAGCACAGTAGCCTGTAATGACGGAAAGAGTGCTAACTTTATGGAGGAATACTGGAGATTAGTAACAAAGACTATAATGATCTTTGACAACTTTGTATCCCAAGTTAAAGTTTAGCCCAGTCTTGTTTCAACTGTCACTGACAAATTTGCCACATCCTTAATCCATACAAGCGTATTGAGACGAAAAGCTCTCTCAGGCAGTTAACTTTTGTCTCTCCACTTGGCTTGAGGGTTGCCATTGGCATCCAGACGTCTGACACACTTTGCACCATGTGGGCTACAAATATCTGACAGTGGGGAATTCGAAAGCCAGAAGAGCAGCAGGAAGTGCTCAAGCAGAACGCAGGTAGTACAGCAGCGGTCTCCCTGGGCAGTTTTCTTTCTAGGCTCCCCGCTTTGGTTCAGAAGGTAGAATGGACTGTACGGCCTCTGTTTTGTTTAATTTAAAAGCTCTGTTTAAGGTGGGTTTCTCCACAGAGCAGTAAAACTCTAATTGGTAATTGGAATCGAAAATCTGAACTGCATGATGAATACTTGCTATGTAGTTTTCAAATCAAATCCCATCTCATTGGAGACTAAGCTACAGGGAACAGGCTTTCAGTTTATCTTGGCCATTTGAGTACCTATCATCCTAAATCAGACTCCTATCTGCTGCATCCAGATGGGTGCTACATACCTCATTACACATGCCATTGTGGGCATGAAACATCCTGGGTAAACAGAGGGTAAACAAGTTAAAGCCATTTAGTTCATTCACTTTATAAGTGCTGTGACCATTTAATTCATTGTCACCGGCTAGTGCATCAGGTGAGGAGGATGGATGGAGAAAAGAGCCTAACGAATTCCAAGCACACTTCTTTAAATTATTCCGTCAAGAGGAACGCCTACTAAATATACCGTGTGGCACATACACGTAAAGGCACAGGTTAGTCGATGAAACAAATCTCTCCATATGGTGCTAGGTGAATTCGAGCACACCAAACACTGCGATCATCAGGCCAGACAAGCTTGAATTTTTTAAAGGAGATAAAAATTTTGTGAACCATACCTGCAAATGTTACTTCTACTGCCTCTGGTTTGTTCCTAAGGAATAAGAAACATCAGATGTCAAAAATCAAATCACAGCCCCCTTAAAAATTGTACAGAAACATTGGTTTACTCGTTTTAAAAAGCAACATGGCCACATTTCTGATTAGGAGAAGTGGCTTTTTCTGAAAGCCCCAACTGTATAACTCCCTAATACTATTCAATTAGGAAAGATGTTACTGACAAGAGTTCTGTACTTTGCCATCTCTCCATCACTCTCACTGTGAGCAATGATTTTACCTCAACCGCTATACCCAGCTTTTGAAAACAATCTTGCCATTTTAGTATGACATTATTCATAGCCTATTTATAGATACCGGAATTCTCCATCGGAGTCTGAGATCCTAATCAATTAACAATGCATGAGTAGACTTAACATTACTAAGAAATGCATTTTAAAAACAAAATGTATTTATTTTTAGCCTCCCAAGATGACAGTTCCGGAGTCAGTGGTCCCCCTGTAAGCATGGACATCATCATAACCATGTAAAGCATGGTAGGGAACTGCAGCCCGTACAGTACTTTAGGTGTTAGCAGAAAGACCCTTCCTCTGAGCTTGGATCCTGGTAGGTGAATAGAACAGGAAGCTTTTTAAACGTGTTTCGCATCATATAAATTTAAACTGTATCCAGGCATTCTGTTTGTAATTTAGGATTCCAAACAAATACAGATGTTTAAAATATTTCACTTTACCTTCATATGCTCTAAGCTTAAAAGCTTAACAACAATGCCCTGAAAGGTTGCATTTCTCCAGGTGCTGGAGTTAACTGGCACTAACTACTCTGATGGAACTGAGTGCTTATGAAGGATGAACTTGCTATGATCCATGATAAGCGGTTTGCCTGCTGTCTCTGCATCCTGAGAGGTGTTGCTGAAACCATAGCCACTAACATGGCATTCTCTGATGGGAAGAAATACAAAGGTAGCAGTAAGGTATGGGCAGGGAATTCTAGAGGACAAACAGGGTAAACGATTTGGAGATTAGAGACCCGAGGTGGGGGAGCTGGTATCTCTTATTGAAAGAACTTCCGCTGGTCAGAGAGACAAGCTTTCGAGCTTACTCAGAGCTCTAGACAACAGAAGTAGGCCCAATAAAAGATTAACTCCCCCCACCTTGCCTCTCCAATATCCTGGGACCAACACGGCTACAACAACACTGCATACAATTTGGGGATTGACAGTTTACCCTTTTTGTGGTATATGTCTGCTTATTTTAAAAAGAGAATCTAGTAGCCACTACTGGATGGGTGCAAATAATATTAGGAAAAACACTGCTTAAAATATTAGGACCAAAGAAATCTTAAGTGAAGGTGTTTGGCTTTCATCCTCACCCAGATGTATCAAAGGAATGACGCAAAAGGCCCAATTCAGCAAATAAATCAAACTGGTATCTACACAGACATGTCTTTCAGATTGTGCGTGGTCACAACCTGGCTACCCCACTCTAGATGTTTGACCTTTTGTCGAATCTTGCTCACTGTAGGCAACAACACTGGCAGATGCCAGGCACACCTTGGCATATCAGGGAAATTACACAGAGGCTGGAGGGAGAGCAGTGGCTTGGGATGTGTCTTCATCACCTTGTTTCAGAACCGAACAACGTTAATGGGTTTTTTGCACGATAAAAGCCACTGCTTTGCCCTGCCATCTGCTCTGTTTGCAGACAGCTCCATTTCAGACACTGCTGTGGAGACCCAGGAATGCAGCAAGGTGTGCCAAATTCAGCACAGACATACAGCAAGACTGATGCAATGAAAGGCATTAACATTAGGGCTGAGTGTAACTCATATAATTGCTTTGCTGGGGCAGGAGAGGCACTTATCCTGCGGCTAAGGCCTATGGGCAAGTGGATTTGGTGGGCTTATCCAGCCCTCACTGGTATTAGCACTGGCAGGAAGATGAGACATCACTACTTTCTGTAAGTCAACAGCTGTGAAAGGCAATAGCCTCCTTCACTACAAAACCGGAGAGTCTCAATCTTTTGCACTGCTGCAGCAGCAAAGATAACCCAGCAATTGGAAGAAGTGATGTAAGTGGCCTTGGGGCAGATCTTTTAGTTTAAAAATCACTATTACTTGCTGATCTCTCTCGCTAATCTCTGCTCCCAGCTGGGTCTTGGGAAGTTGCTTCTATATTATAACTTTTGCTCTGGAGTAGGGAGCAGTTCCCAAATCACATCAAATTAATCTCTGCTCCTGGGTATCAGCCCACAGCAGATAAACAGAACTTCCACTGGTGCGTATCAACTCACCACACAATGTAAGGTGACTGGCAGGGTGGTGCTCCTCAAGGGGGGTCCATGAACATAAAAGCAAAGGGGTCCTCGTGGCCAGGAGCAAAATATCGTGAATAATGTGCACAGCACCTCCCCCAAAGTATTTTGTTGACCCCACAGCCATGACTAGGGTATTCTTTGATGGGGAGTAATGCAGAGGGATAGAGCAGTAATAAGGCATGGGGGAAAGGAATGCAGGGTGCATCAGTTTGTTTTTGTGAGCATTACATTCACTCAAATTTAAAAGATAGTGCGGACTAGAAATATTTCAGCAAAAGTCCCAGGTAGGGAACTTTAAGGTGGTACAGTTAAACACCCTAGAGTCAGGCAATACACAAGTTAAGGTTGCTTGTGCACCCTTAACTCTGCCCTCTCATACGCAGGTAATACAGCCGCTTCTAATTACATGATCACACACCACCTGCCGCGCTCAGAGAAATAGCATTTTCTAGAACCGCACCTGTAAGCGCAACGTCTCCTGCTACTCTATGCTACTCTTGTGCGTGCTGGACCAGAGTCCAGGAAAGTATGTTATACACCATATGTGCAGTGAACAAGGCAAAGACTTTGCTTAAGGGAGTAGAGCCCCTACCCATTTACTTTGCACCTCGCCTTAAACGGCTGTAGAAAAAGAAATACTCACAGGCATTTCTCAACGAGTTTCCCTGCCAGATTTCAACTTAAAGAGATCAAGCCTAAAAAAATTTCAGCCCCACAGCTAAAAGTTTCAGAAATGTACAAGCAACTGGAAACAGGGTATTGGAATGGAAGTGCTCACACACAACACTATCGGTTTAAAATGGGCTCCAAATACAACAGGTGAAGTAGCTGGGATCACTAGTCCTAGTCAACAGATGATGAGGTGCACACGGCATTTATCCTGCAGATTGCTGGCAAAATCCATTATAAAAGCTCCTTTTAGATTCTTACATTTAAATGACAGGTTTCAGAGTAGCAGCCGTGTTAGTCTGTATCCATAAAAAGAACAGGAGGACTTGTGGCACCTTAGAGACTAACAAATTTATTAGAGCATAAGCTTTTGTGAGTTACAGTTCACTTCATCGGATGCATTCAGTGGAAAATATAGTGGGGAGATTTTATATACACAGAGAACATGAAACAATGGGTGTTACCATACAGACTGTAACAAGAGTGATCAGGAAAGGTGAGCTATTACCAGCAGGAGAGCGGACTGGATACAATTAACTTAGGCTTGAATAAAGACTGGGAGTGGATGTGTCATTACACAAAGTAAAACTATTTCCCCTTGTTTATTTCCCCTTCTACAGTTCTTGTCAACTGCTCGAAATGGCCCACCTTGATTATCACTACAAAAGGTTCTCACCCCCCAGCCCCAATAGCTCACCTTTCCTGATCACTCTTGTTACAGTCTGTATGGTAACACCCATTGTTTCAAGTTCTCTGTGTATATAGATCTCCCCACTATATTTTCCACTGCATGCATCCGATGAAGTGAGCTGTAGCTCACGAAAGCTTATGCTCTAATAAATTTGTTAGTCTCTACGGTGCCACAAGTCCTCCTTTTCTTTTTACATTTAAATACATCACACTGCTTAAGTAAGGGATTCCTTTAAATTCACAACTACAAGAGCTAGCAGTATAGTACCTACAGTATCACTGCAACCTCTGTTTGCATATTGGTTTGTATATATCCAAGTGGCCTGCACTGTGAAACCTTATTCTTCTTATGTGGAATCTCCATTACTGGAGGTTTGCAACCATGGTAGCCCAGTCCCTACAACCCTCTGCTCATTTCTTTGTGGATGAATAGTCCTTTTGATCCATGGAGAATACCACATCATCCACCCAAGACCTTCTTTCTCTGCATCCTGCTCTTCCACCATCAGCTTTCCCTTCCTGTGCCTGTATACATGCATTGCCCGCTGAAGCTCTTAAAATTGTGGAACCATGTTCCTCAAAATCAGGTTTACTCAATTTGGCACTGAACTGGAGTTCACTTATCCCCAACACAGCTCCCTCTGGTGTCAGCTTGTCTAGGTTTTTCCACAACCGTAAGGTTTCGAACAGTACATCGTCTTCTGCTACAGTGAATAATGAGCTCCTCTTTATCCCTATGTTGCTACCTCAAATTTCTTACAACCCAAATTCACCAAAAATATAACAATCTTTTCTTTTTGCTACATCCTGTCCTAAAAGACAAAGAAAAAAAGGTCCCATACCACAAAATAATTCTATCAGCTCCCCTTTTGTTACCAACTCTAAATACAAGACAGACCTGATTGACAAATCTGTCTGAACCCTGAACCTAAGATGGCTGCAGTTCCTACGAAAGGCAGTTGTCCATTTCCCAACAACGTGAATATTAATCAAGTCCAAACCACACACATGCAATCAAATACTCACTAAATCCCCCATCAGGAACATCTGCTCTGTACTTAGATGCAAGAATACAAAAAGGGTTCTGGCAGGTACAATTTCTTCCTGCTCCACTTCCTCCCACCATTCTTGCCTACCTCAACTGGGTTTTCCTAGAAGATTATTACATTGGCTCATCTATAAGCATGATACATTAACTCCACTTAACGTATGTTGAAGTCCAAATCAGATTTGTCACCCCTAGCAGAACTATAGCTTCAAGAAGATCTGCAGTTTCCAACAGGCACGTAACAGCAAACCCTCATCTGACAGCACTTCCTCAGTTTTGACTCGGACCACTGCCAAGTTCCTCAGCTTCATTACT